TTCAGCTTTGACTGATTGCTGATTTGGGCACCATGTTGCTGGTTGGTGATAAGGATGGTCACTGTTCATATTGATTATTATATCAGGAGGACGCAGACCAGGGTCTTTCGCGTAAACTTGGTCCTGCGGGGCTATTTTTGGGGTTTGCTCCAGTTCCGTTATTTGGCTCAAGGTACAATAAGAAGTCATCCGTTCTTGCGGGAGTCCGCGATACGGAATCATTTCCTATGCATTGGCTCTAATAATATCTGGACCCGCGCCGACGCGATACTCGCCGTTGCCTTGATAAGAGAGTACCATATAAGGACCCAACTTCTGAACACAAAACCGCCAATTTTCCGCGTGGGTGTTCACTGTCGGGAGACCAGGGCAAATTGCCACCATTTCCCCAGGCCGGAAGTGTCGATTTCTCTGCTTGTTTGCCTGGTTGGTGACTTCTTCCCTGGCTTTTGTACTTTCTGCAATTGGCCATTGTGGTTGCTTTTCTGGAGTTAAGTCCAGTACCTGAAACTGATCGTCGGCGTTTAGACGAGGGGGTAATCCAAACATTACTTTGGTAGGGGTTCGATTAGTTGTCGCGTGAGGCGTGATGTTGTAAGCCCTGACTGACTCTTGTAGATGCCGTTCCCATTGATCTTCTTTTCCCTTGGTAGCCTTTGACTGCAGTTGCATCAAGGATCGGATTGCTTGTTCGCAGCATCCATTCCCTTCCGGGTGAGTGGCTTGAGCAACATGTTGATTGATGCCGAGCCCTTGTAAAAAAATTCGGAACGTATTACTTCTAAATACTGAGTCACAGTCCGTATGGACTGTTTCGAATTCCCCGGTTTGCTGAAATATTTCTGAAATGAAGGGTATTACCATTGTAACGTTGGCTTTTAACACTGGGCGCACGAACATAAATTTGCTGAAATGGTTCACTGCAACTATCGCGTACCAAAATCCTTCCGGGGTATAGGGCAGCAGGCAGTAAAAATCGAGTGTGAGCCTTTCTCGTGGTCTTGTCAAATTAATGTAGCTCAACTCTGTGCCCACTTTTTGGGTCGGAATATTGTACTGAAAACATAGGGAGCAAGACTGGATTTCCCGCCATATGTCTTGTCTGAGTTTGGGCCAAAAAAAACGTTTGCGTAGGGTCTGGTACACTTTTTTTCACCCCGCGTGTCCCAACTCCTTGTGGTATGCTGCAATAATGTCCGGTCTGTCCTCGATTGTCGGAATCATACGCGCGTCTGCTGCGTTCAACGAAATTTGACTAAGAGCGTCAGGGCCCTGAAGCATGCTGCCCGGTCTATAAACTAATTGCATATCAAAACTAGCTAACTTCATGCGCATACTAATCAACCGTTCCATTTTCAGCTCCCCGAGGAGTGCTTTATGGTCTGTATTAACCGTAAACATGCGATGCACCAGATGATGACGAAATTTCTTTATCACACTCCATACTACCGCGAGTAGCTCCCTTTTGGTATTCGTATAGCGTGTTTCAACTCCGGTTAATACCCGGCTTGCGTATTGCACCACTTGCTCTGATCCGGTTTTGTCGGTTTGAACCAATACTGCCCCTAGACTCGTAGACGACGTGTCACAATGGACCACGATTGGCAGTTTTGGGTCCACTCGTTCGAGTTTTGCTGTATCTGCAAGAACCTCTTTAAGATGATCAAATGCCTGGAGAGAATCCGGTTTCCAATCTAGTTTCACCACCGGTTTTTTTGGAATAGTCCCGCAAAGTAGTTTTTCCACGTCAGCAAAATTGGTTGGCAAGTGTGCGCGCAAATAAGTTGCCATACCTAAAAAACGTAACATTTGTCGCGTGGTTTCTGGGCGCGGGAAGTTGCGCACTGTGGTAACATTCTTTTCCGCCGGTCGTGTTCCGGTTTGATCAATTTTGTGCCCCAAAAAAACAAGTTTCTTAGCTAGAAATTTTGACTTTTTGATGTCGATTGCTGCTCCCGCTTTATGCAGGGTTTTGAGGATTTCCGCAAGGTTTTCGCATAGCGTACCAAAATTCTTGCCAAAGACAATGACATTGTCCATATATGCTAAACAGCGCCGGTTCAAATGCTTCCGCAAGATCGTATTGATCGTTCTCTGAAAAATCGCGGGTCCCGTTTTTAAACCAAAGGGTAGAACTTTGTACTGGACCTGTCCTTGCGGGGTGGTGAACGCTGTTTCAGGTCTGTCCTCGTGTGCTAACGGGACATGATGAAATGCGGAATGAAGGTCTATCGTACAGAAGTACTGGTTGTTTCTGCCGAGCGCGTCTAACAATTCCTGAATTACTGGCATTGGATAATGATCTGCAATTAGTATTTTGTTCACCACCGTATAATCCTCCACTAGCCGCCAGCATTTCTGAACTGGGGCTGATTGGTCAAGACATTTTTTTATTGTTAAAAAAGCTGGAGAATTATAGGGCGATTCTGCTAATTCTAAGATACCATCTTCTATATATAGATCTATCAACTCCGCAAAAGACGTATGCCGATCGGAAGAATGGCGGTACTGCTGCGTTGCGGGAGGGGCTGCCTCTATTGTCAGTAAATGGGCCACGTGGTCCACGAATAGGCCTCTGCGACCGGACCATTGATACACTACTGATTTGTACTGCGTTAGAATACGTTTGATTTGACTCCTTTCGTCCGCGGTGCCGTCAACAAAATTTATGCCGTGCCCTGTGAGCATTGTCGGTTGTGCCGGAACCGCCGTAATTTCCTGAAACCCGGTGAAAATTTGTTGACCGTCCAGGTTAACCGCGAGAGGTAAGAGCGCGAGCGTCATTTGCCCCAAGATTAAAGGGAATTCGGAGAGTTTAGGCAGTACGATAAAAGGAGCGTGCATCTTTGTTCCGTGAAACATGAAATCTAGCTGTACCAAACAATTTGTTTGAAGGGCATTATCGCCAAGGGCGGTCTGTACCGCAATTTCGGAAGAGTCAGTCTGCAATTTAAGTGAACTCACAAGATCTGCTGAGATGAATGAATGTGAGGCTCCGGTGTCCAGGAGTGCGGAGAAATTCTGACCTGAAATGCTGAGCTGGAGCACGATAGGAGGAGGTGCGGCTGAGAGTTCCAAGGAAGCACAGTGCGCCGCATTCACTGTGCAGTTTTGGCGTTTCCCTGGATCTGGGGACATTCTTTTAAATAATGGCCAGGTTTCTGGCAATGAAAACAAAGAGAAGCACCCAAGTCATTATTTGAACGCGTAGTATAAGTATTTGTCTGGGGAGCCGCGGAATTCGAAGGTGGGTTTTCATTTCGCGATGTAATATTTGAATTAGGACGTAATCGGCACTTGTGCCTGCCGTGCCGCATGTAATGACCGTGATGCTGGCACCATTGGCAAGGTGGTAGCGATGATCGGTGTCTGAAGTTGTTTTTCACGGTACCTGACAATGATGAGTTTTGGACGCGGTGGTTGAGTCAATACAATTCGGCGATCTCAATCATGTCGTCCCAGGTCAGCCTAGGTTGCCGGAGCCACTTCTTTTGTAGTTCGTCCTTCAGGCCGCCATCTGAGATGAAGAACAGCTGCTCCATAAAGATTTGCTGCAGGAAGGGCTCTCCCATTTTGAGCAGGTTCGGAGGGAAGCAGAGGAATGCTTCGTACTGGTCCCGCATGCGTTCGGAAAAACTGAAGTAGCTTTCTTCGGACTCCGGCTTCATGCAGCAAAAGGTTTTGAGACGATCCAAATGGGGCGTGGGATGTCTTCGGGTGATCACCTTGACGAGTTGGTTGAAATTGGTGGTTCCCCTCTTGTGGTGCCAGTTCGCTGTGCTTTGGATGTGCGGCAAGGTGTTCTGCAGCAAGCAACGGATCAGGTGTACCTTGGTGATGTTGTCGACTGCCGGGAGGTTGCAAAGTCGGATGACATAGTCTTCAAAGGCCTCATTCTTGTTCTGCTTCGGCCAGGCTGTGCAGGTTGGCGAACCACTTTGGCGGGAGGATGGGGATCTGCTGTGGGTCTTTGATGATTGTTGCCAGCTCACGAGAAGGAGCTATGCCAGGGGGACGTGGCAGGGCTTGTAGGGCTGTGACAGGAATTTGGAATCTGTCCAGCTGCGCTGCGTATTCCGCTCTGGAATTGCAGGTTGGTCTGCCCAGGCAATAGGTATCGACGAGGAGCTGTAGCATGGCTATTGGAAGACTTCCCCAGACACTGGATGCGTCGGAGGCTTTGCTGCCCGGTTGTTTGGACGCAGTGCCATTTTCGCCCATCTCGGATTTGGAATCGGAATGGCATTCTTCGGCATCTCCCATTGCGGCTTCCGCCGCGGCTTTAGAATTGTTGGTGTTGCATTTCATATTAGTGAACGTTGGGTACAGCACGTGATTGATCACAGGTCCAAGTTAACGGACGAGCCCCCAGTAAGGGTTTTGGGGAATAAATCTTCAATCACGGCTTGAAGTACAAGTTTATTTCAACAACGTCACAACACAACACTGAGTCAAGGGTAAAAGGTCAGAAGGACTGTACAAGTCAAGGTCTCAGAACTCAATGAATTTCTTTGTGCTGCTCTCAGTCGCTCCTCTCCATTGTGCTGCTGATCTAGAGATAGGTGTAACTAAGCAGTTGGGAAGGGTGACTGGTAAAACGTAATATAACTAGATGTCGCTCTTGTAAGTCATTGTAATGCCTTACTCAACTTCACTACAGTAGGCTAAGTCCATAACAAATAGCGACATCTAGCACATCTAGATGCCATCAATCCGCGGGCTCAACCATCCCACCGGTAGACAACCTCATCAGCAGGGATTTCAGGAGCAACCGGGCAGGCACTGTGGGAAGGCTTACCAGAAAGCTTCATTCACCTGATGTGTTACTACTTCTTGTTCTGCGCGGATGTCGTGCGGGTAACGATCCTGATCTTAGAACTGGTGTTGCGATCAAGTCATTCTGTTCGGACAATTCCTTATTCTATGAACAATGACGGTGTGTGTGAGATTCGGAGCTTTTTCGGACAGGGAAACTCATGAGATCGCTGATCATACTCATTGTTATTGTCTTCCGCTGTACAGGTTGGTGACTACGCTGGACGTTTTTCAAGTTCAGGGGCGTTATTCTGTATTCCAGCTTTCTCGCATGTAGGACGCGCCTGCAACGCGAGCCCGTCATCGCTGGAAGTGAAGCGTGGCTATTAAGAAATGAATGATTTTTATCCATGCTCTCCTGATAATCAGCCTGACATGGATCCAAGTGATGGGAGCGCTCTTCCTGTACTTGCTGATACTAGACGACTTCCTGGATTTCTGGGAGGAACTGATCAATCTCTACAATCGCCTTGTGATTCTTTAGAGGACACAGATCCTCTGGTAGCAACATGTGCGCCTGCAGGAACCGTTAACAGCGATGACTCAAGTAACGACGGTCTGTTGCTTGAAGCACTTCAAGACTCGGATTCCGTGTCAAGTGACTCTTCAGCGGTGTCGTCTTTATCCCAGATGAGTGGGAAGGATTGGAAGCCTCATGCTGGGCCTATGTCATGGATTCACCGCCAAATGTGCCTCGGGGCTAACCCGCGTGTCATATTGTCTCAGCTTCTTCCTCGCAACTCTGGTATTCCGATTGATGTCGACGATATTTCATTGTGGAAGTGCATCATCGAAATATTGACGGAGCCGCCGCGTCGACATCGCCTGCGGCATATCAACAATTTGGAGGACGTGATACGCCTTATACGAAGCTCTCGAAAAATGCTAATACTTACTGGAGCTGGAGTCTCCGTCTCGTGTGGCATTCCTGACTTTCGCAGCAGAAACGGCTTGTATGCTCGTCTTGCGAAGGACTTTCCTGATCTTCCCGATCCGCAAGCCATGTTCGACATCAACTATTTTGATCGGGATCCTCGCCCATTTTTCAAGTTTGCGCGTGAAATTTTCCCGGGTCAGTTTGAGCCGTCCCCCGCGCATCAGTTTATTAAATTGGTGGAGAAGCACGGAAAGTTGCTGAGAAATTACACGCAGAACATTGATACGTTGGAGCAAGTTGCCGGCATAGAGAACGTCATACAGTGCCATGGTGAGTTGAACTGATGTTTTCTGGAAAGACTGTTTTGTCTTGATGCGTATATTTTATTTTCTCTCGCGATACAGGCTCATTTGCCACCGCGACTTGTCAACGCTGTCAGATGAAAGTAAACTCTGATTTTGTGCGAGATGACATCATGGCTCAGCTGATACCCGTGTGCCGTGCGTGTTGTCCTTCGGGAGAATTGGATCTCGACTTCAGTCGTCCAGTCTCCGTGGTTACGGAAGACTTTGACGAAACCTCCTCATGCTCCTTGGAAATGTTAGCTGCAGAAGAGAGGAAAAATGCGACGCCTATCTTGAAGCCAGACATCGTGTTTTTCGGCGAAGGATTGCCGGAGAAATTTCATGCATCCATGGCATCAGACAAGGATGAATGCGATCTGCTAATAGTGATCGGGTCTTCGCTGAAAGTCAGGCCCGTGGCACTGATTCCCTGTGAGTATGAGATGCTTTTTCTGATGGAACCTCCGAATGGAAAAGAGGGGAATTTGTATTCGCAGCTTCTGTGCCTCCCACTGTACCCCTGGTGCTCATCAACCGAGAGCCGCTGCACCATGTCAATTTTGATGTACAGCTATTGGGTGACTGCGACGTGGTTTGCAATGAGCTATGTCGACGTTTGGGAGACGATTGGACTGCACCAGGACTAGACAAGCCAGTCCTAACTGCGCTGAGTTCCTTGCCACCACGTGCAGATTCGGGGTTTAGTGGCAGTGATGAGACGCAGGACTGTGACGAGCCCAAGTCTGAGCATGACCTGGAGGCATTGAGGAAATGTTGGCAGCCAAAAGTCAAGGAGAGTGTCTCGGACCGCTTGCCAGGTGAGCATTGTTTGTTTTATCATGGAGAGTAATTCAAATTGAAAGTGAAACCAGCGGAAAAAAATTCACCTAGTGATCGTGAAATATGAAGATTTCTGCGATTGAGGTTTGCGCAGTGCGAAAGTTCCCTGTTGTGAATTTTTTTTCCAAGTTTCCGTCTGAATTCCCTTTGAAACACTGCATTAAAAATCTCCCTGACTCGAAGGCTTTCCCCCCAAAACCTCCATTAGTCCAAGTTTTTTCGGGGTTTTCTGGAAAATATTTTATCGACGCAGGAAAAGCGATAAAAATGCAACATGACGAGATTTGAAGGGAAATGAAAGATTAATTGAACAAATGACCTGTTGCCTCCAAGTTCAGCATCCTGACAACTCATTCAAGAAGTAATTCAATGCCCCGAAAACTACCAAATTACAAATTCCTGTAATTTTTACTTCTTTCCCCCGACAAAAAAGCTTCTTTCCCCGTTCAATTTTTTAGAAATACTCCTTTATTCAAGTTTCGCCCGAAGAGGTTCGATTGTATCATAAAACCATTGACAGGCAAATATTTTAGGCATTGAGCGAATGGTTTGTTAGATACCATCAAGATTCCTTCGCATTTCATGTACAAAAATTACGGGAGTGGTAAAATCCAGAGGAAGGTTGAAAAGTCCTGTCTGACATGATTGTTCATTTCGCCTTACTTGAATCGAGTGAAATACGAATCGTCTTGCAGAGGGAACGTTTGTGCACATGCCGCCAAACAAGTACGTTTTCAAGGGAGCTGAGGTATACACAGATCCAGATGACGATCATGAAAGCTCGTCATCGTCATCATCATCTTCTGCATCATCGGTGTCGTCGAGCAGGTGTTCCACGCCCGAACTGCCCAGCACTGAGCCAGGACCCAAGGAAGCAGAAGATGAGGTGTCCGTGAAACGAAGACGGGCCCTGTTATCCCCAGTGGCTGAGAAAAGCGACGAACCGTCGTTGAAGGTGATGCGTCTTTCGCAGTGACACCGACGCATCATTCCCTCTCCAGCATCATCATCCTGGGGTTGGGGAGTTAGTTGAATAAATGCAAGCAATCTCTTGGAGGCGGACTTGATAACAACTTTCTGCCTACGCTTTAATTTACGCGTGAGCCAGTGAAGAAGCCCCGATCAAATGTGTGTGAAAGTTCCTGGAGGTTTCAATTTTAATTTTTTTTTCAATTTCTGAGGTAATTGGAGACCTTGAGGGAAATGGAGAGTGACTTGGACAGTACATGGGTGAATGAATGGAGTTAGTGAGTGAGTTTGTCCGGGGTTTTACGTTCGCTTTTTTTGTTCGTTTGTTTGTAGTGGTGGGGTGGAGAGCCGGACCGTGGCCTTGTGTGTTCTTTGGACGTTGAGATCTGATACGAGCTGCGAAGAGAGAGAGAGAGATATTTTGCAGGAAATTATCAGAAAAGAGAATTTTTTCGGATTTGTTGCGCATTCCTCATGGTTGATCTTCAGTGCAGATCCGTGCGCATTGAGAAGTTGGATGTCAAGCAATTCACCGTTTATCAGGAACCTTTTTTTTTTCTAATCCTTTCAGTCATTTGTGGTGCCTGGGTTGGAAGGATTCGTAATGTATTTCAATGGGAAGTCCGTTATCCAGAATATGTGATGACCTGGAAGTGATGGATTATGCCTTCGAGGACGTGTAATGCCAACCATTTCAAGTGTTCAAGCAGTTCCGAAATCATTAAATTAGATCGCAACCGTCTTGAAAACAAAGTTCTTCATGGGATTAAAAGGGTAAGAATCCTTTTAGTTTTTGAATAATCTGGAGCGCGGAAAGAATTACGATTCGAAGAAAAAAGTCATGTAGATCGAGAATTCTCGCCATGACAAATACCTTGATTTTTAAAAGGCATAATAATTCTTGCTGGTAGTTCATTATCCAAAGGAAGGCTTGGTGGCGGCAGCACGTGTCGGTTTTGCTGCGAGTCTGCTGTGCGAAACGTCCGTTAACTGGGTAATATTTTCTTTCGTTTTTGTTGGTCCTTTTCTCTTCACCTCATTCCTGTTCGGGAGGCAGAAGAGGAAGCGAGATTGTTGGTGCGTATGGCCGGTACAAAACGTAATTGACTCAGATGGTGTTTTCGATGTAGTCCCTCGTTTTTAATGTTAACCAAGCGTCAGGAATGTACGCGACACTTGATACTTCCGCGTTACTTTTTTGCGAATTTGTTTTCCTGTGTTGTTTGCTATCTCTTGTCTTTTTTTTTTGTGGAAAGCTTTGGAACGGGATTCCTCAAGTACAGTACCTCAACTGGGGCACAAGTCGTATTTCACAATGCAGTGATGCTCCGTATTTGATGTTTTTTCTGTTGAGCCCTAAGCTATAGTGTTTGGCACTGCGTGGAAGTTTTAATTTTGGCGTGATTGATGGACACCGGAAATATTTGTTGCGCATTGGGGTGCGGACCAGAAGATGCATCGTAATGTGGAGAGAGTTTTTTTTCCTTTTGCCAAATGGTTGCAACTGTTGTGTTGTTTCCTTTCTGTTTATTCCCCCCCCCTCCCCCTTTTAAGTGCAAGAGTGGATGTCCTGAAGGAGAATTCCGGGAGAAGTTTTCGATGGACGGAAGGAAGGTTGCGTTTGACAAAGAATGTTTTTCCTGTGACGCTGACGGAGGAATTGAAACCGACTCTTTTTTTCTGGTTATGGAAAGTGGGGAGTTTTCTTTCATAATATTTGAGTCTTTGGAAAGACTTCAGTGGTGGGAAGTTGGTTGCAAAACGCTGGGTATAATTGTGGTACATTTTATCAGTCTGTGACTGGATACAATAGGTCTCTACTTGAAAACAAGTGCCACAGCAAAAATTTTGCGTTGCTGTATAGAATTTCATTGTGGTAGAAGTGACAAAGACATGGCAAACGTTTTTGTGGTTCCACTTAGTTTTTGCGCAAATTGCTGGAACATCAGCAAGAAGAGATTCAATTTGAAACTTCAGTGTTCTAAATTTGTGAAAGAGAGTGGACAAAGAAGCCAGATGTGTCTTTCCCATCTGAAATAATTTTATGTATCAGAAAGTTGAGAGCTGAACATGTCAATAACTTGAATTCTATACTTATCAATTGTAAACTCAATTTTATTCTGATAGCTTGCAAAAATCTACAGTTTCAAGGCTAACCAGGATGCTTTTGGATGTCTGAAACATCAACTATACCTTTGTAGAATATTGCCATCACAAATGGGAATTGTACAAAAAATTTGAAACACTTGACATGACCACCAATTCCAACAAAGCACTACTTCAATTTGTACACTGCAAGCCCAAAAATGAGACAGCAAATGATGAAAACCATGAATTGTAAGGAACTCCTGGACATGAATGTGTGAATTAGTTGACTTGCATGCAATGCAACATTGGACACTGCTTAGTAAGGCATGAGGAGCATATTACAGTACCAGTGTTCTGTTGCAAGCACTATACACATGTTGTGTGCAGAGATCAATGGTGAACACTGTTGGCCACAGGTTGTACATTCTGAGTTGGAATCTGCACAGGGTTTATTGATTTTCCTGTACTGTACTGTCTTTTTCTGTATCTGACAGTAGTAAATAATTGTATGCCATTGTGTTTGTGTGTGTACGCAGCCCCTGTATGCATGAGTGTGTGTGTGTGTGTGTGTGTGCTGCATAAGATACTTCAAATTTTAAAAATAAAAATTGGTAAACTTTTCATGTACTGTATTGATGCAGGACCAGGGCAACTGTAGGTGCAGGTTGTTCACTGCACAAAGGTGCCACAGTTGGGGTACAAAAATGGGACTATAGGACCGACACGCAAAATTTGCATCTTCTTATTGTTGTCATACACTTCCAATTTTACAACCAATACAAAATAAAGTTTGTTATTGGAAACCTTTAAGAGGATGATCAATGTAAAGTGTTGACAATATGATAGATATTCAGATTCGCACCTCTTTTACCAGGTGCGTCCTGGACCTAGTATTTCAAGTACTCAAGACAATTAAGTAAACAAAACACAAGTAATGTTGCTTTACATGTGTTTATTCCAGTTCAAACATATATATATACACAAAATACAATAAGCCTACTACGGACTCTGCTTCTCTCAGAGGGTATTTTACCACTGAACTCTGCTGGGTTGCACAAGGCCTTTTATTAACTTTAGGAAAACCAGACAGTTGAGGGTCATTGTACTAGGGATGGTCATTCCACCAGACATAGGAAGGAGACACAAAGCATTCCACAACTACGTATCCCTTTAGAGATTTATGGGGCGGTCAACTGCCTGAGGAGAACTGTAATTATGGCAGGTAAAGATGGAAACAAGGTTGCACACACATGCGCAGCCGTCCCGCATTAATGAGCGGGGCAAGGGAAAGTTAGAGCAATTCAGACCAGCTGACAACATTATTCTCAGGACATACCCATGTGTCCAATTGGATGCCATATGCATGGCCCTGTGGTTCAGCGCCATTTGAGAAATAGAAAATATATGAGCTTTGCATTGCCTAATTCTTGTTTTGGCACCCCCTAACTCTTGCGCTGGTGACTTCTTCTGAAACAAAAAAACAGCAGGCCTATATTTGAGCATGCCATTCACCCATTGAGTAAAGCAAAGTATTGCCCAATATCTTCCAAATCCCTTTAACTTTTGAAAACAAGCAGCAATAAAAGTGATTAATTTCTTTTTTTTTAAGCATAATTAACCATTGGGTGGCAATGTGCCAGGATTTGTCCTTCAAAATTTTGTGTTGCACAAAACAAATAATTCAGAAAAAAAAGAGTCAAAGTTGGGAAAAATTAAACATTTTTTTCAGCATTCTTGCGGGAAACTTGCTTTAAAAAATTAATGTAGGGGCATTTCTCTGCATTCCAGCCATAGGATTAGCAGTGAGAGATTTTAAGATCAACGGTTTTCCCTTTCCCAGATTTTCCCTGACTTTGGCTACTCAAGCTAAAGCTGCATTTTGTTGACCCTATGGGTCAAACCAAAATCCACAATCATGCAAGAATATCCTGGCCCAGCTGCTGTGGGATGGAATTTGATCAATTGCTGCCCAAGGGTTTAATGCTTCACATATGGTGGAATAAATGATGACCTTAGACTACCAGCACATTTACATTTTAGTTTACCATGCACATCATTTTAAAGAAATTAATAAGTAGGAAAATGAGGCACTTATTATTGCTATTTGGTTCAAATGTTGGTAAAATATTTCTCATACAAGTCATGCATGAAAAACATGATTTCTTTCCCATTCATTTTTATCCAAAATAGTAAAATTCCATGCAGTTGCATACAAATTTATGCATTACACATTGATAGAAGGTAATGAAGCCTGTTATGGTTAATTATCAATGGTAAATTAACATGGTTGTTAATTTAAGGTCTGAAACAAACTTTTGTAATAAGAATCTGCTGAATAATGATTCCAAATGATCATAAACAGCAGTCTAAGGCATAATAAAAGATCAAAAACCTTAAGTTCCTGTTACTTTTCATTTCAAAGCAAAATTTTAGCTTTCCATTCAAAAACTCTCCAAGGTTCTTGCTGATCCCTTGGGGTTTGACTTGCACAGGTTCAACTGCAGTTAGAAGAATCATAATTGGATGTACAGCAGTAACTAAGTTTTTAAAGGCACTTTTTCAGAACACAGGTACTGTTTATTATATAAGTTACAGTATTTTGCTGATGAGTGGGTGCCTGAGCTTCTATACTCTAGAGAATTCTCAAACACTTTTCACTATTATTATCCTGATGCTGCTGATTGGAAGAATTGAGATCAAAGGGGAGTTTAAGAGGGGTCTTGGTTCACAAACTTAATCCTTTCCTGAGCAAATATTTGTTAACCAAATCCCTTTTTTCATTAAGAAAGTGCAGAAATAATTCTAATTGGTTTCCAAACATGGAAAGTGACCTTGATAATCAAGAAAATGAGTTTTATATAAATGTTTGATGGGCCTAAAATTCAAGAATTGTCCTTGATAAGGTATAGGAGAAACTCACTGAAGGACAACATCCCTTTCGATTTTTTTTATTTAAAAAATTTGAGAGTTGTCCCAGTCCTGGGCATCCGGGAAAATTCTGACATTTTTAGAAATGAAAGTACTGTATAAAAAAATTTTAGTGAGTGTTTTGCTTGTGGGAAAACTCTCAATCAGTGACTGAAAAGAAACTGCAAAAGAAATTTTGATTTTGAAGATTAAAATGAAGGGCCAACTGTTCAACTCATTGTTTTGAATTTAGATGGTGCATAATTTTGTGGCTCACATGAATATAATTTTTATAATTTTTAACAATCAAAATATGTAAATTAAAAGCTTTTTCTTACTTGTATCATGCAGAATTTCAGAGTGAAATAATGTTTTGCTAAATGCACAAAGAAGAGAAATTGTGTTGAGCACTGAAATGGAGGTTTTTTTTTTTGTCAACAACAACAAAAGTTTACCTGATGTTGAAACATGAACTAAAAAGTCTAAAATCCAAGGTTGTGTAAAGTATACAAGTCTGAGTTTGTTAGCCATAATGAGGCATCTATATAAGCCCCAAACCCAAAGTTTGTTATTAATTGAAATATATTTTTTTAAAGCCAGGCTCTGCATTTGTTAACCAAGACCCCACTGAAGCTATAATTTACCTGGCCCACTTGGGACTGGGCCAAGCCTCCCCAAGAATAGAACCAGCAGAAAACTACTTTTTTTCTCTCTCTCAACTCCCATAGTCTTGCGGCAGTCGCAGCCCACATCACACCTATATTTACATCATATACAGCAGCAGGTACAGCAAAGGGAAGTGGAATTTGTGCCCAGCAGTGGTGGTGTTACAGGAAACAGACACAGAAAACACAATAATAATAATAATACAGTGATCCCAGCAATGCCCCGAAAACGCGGAAAGAAGCCCGCTGCTGATGTCATCATTAGTGATACGAACTCATCAACGGTGTCAATTGCTGCTGATGATGATGACACTCAAGTTTCATCTCCTCCTGCGACGGCTGTTGCTGCTGCTGCCAATAAGGATGTCGTTTCTGATGAAGCTGGTGATGCTGCTGGAGATGATGACAATCATAAGCAGGACGATAATGGCGGCGATGCTGCTGCTGTGAAGTCCATGGCTGAGGAGACTCTGTTGGTGCCCAGTGAATACAAGGAATTCATCACTGGCAGCAGGGGTTTACTGAAGGATGAGAATAGTGATGAGGAGCCAGCACCTTTTGTGTGGGTGAGGAACAAACTCTTGGGCAGGTGAGTGTGCTTTAATATTATATACACTCCCAAGTGGGGAGTTATTTTTGCTGTGACCCCACAGTAGGTGCACACCATGGTCACAACTGGAGCATATGGGATATTCTGGGGTTACAAGTGTGCACTCCTGTAGAGGAAATTTTGCTACCATTCCANTAGAAAAACTGTCTGACCGTTTATTGAAACTGCTTCAATCAATATCTTTCAACTAAGTGTAAGGGCATTTGGAGCATTGATTATTGTATACTCTGTACAGTGCATTGAAATGTGTTGGCATGCTCTTCAAAAATAACATTTGTCAAAAATAGAGAAGGAAGTCCCTCTGCGCAGGAGGTACTTTTCTAAAATTAGCTAAATGGATGGTAAAATGATGGGAGAAATGCCACAAAACTTTTCTTGCCTATAGCTCTAAGGTCATGTTTGAAATACAGTCAACCCCTGTCTAATGGACTTAATTTGTGCAACAGACAAGTCTGTTGGACAAAAAGTCCTTTAGACACATTCCATTATCTATTAAAAAATTAAAACTTTTAATTGCCAACAGTAATTTTAAACCAACAGATGTTGGTTTAAAATTACTGTTGGCAATTAAAAGTTTTAATTTTTTAATAGATAATGGAATGTGTCTAAAGGACTTTTTGTCCAACAGACTTGTCTGTTGCACAAATTAAGTCCATTAGACAGGGGTTGACTGTATTTCAAACATGACCTTAGAGCTATAGGCAAGAAAAGTTTTGTGGCATTTCTCCCATCATTTTACCATCCATTTAGCTAATTTTAGAAAAGTACCTCCTGCGCAGAGGGACTTCCTTCTCTATTTTTGACAAATGTTATTTTTGAAGAGCATGCCAACACATTTCAATGCACTGTACAGAGTATACAATAATCAATGCTCCAAATGCCCTTACACTTAGTTGAAAGATATTGATTGAAGCAGTTTCAATAAACGGTCAGACAGTTTTTCTATTTTATATGGAATTCTTATGAATATTTCTTCCATAAAACACCAATTGAAAATTATATAATGTAAGTCCAAGGGAAAACAAAACTCAACTTATGGACATTTTGACTTTAGGACATTCTCAATGCATGAGTAATATCTGCTTTTCAGGGTATCACTGTACAATGTTTTAATGAGTACAGTAAATTATTCACAGGTATTCCAGTAAGACTGGAGATGCTATGCCATTATTTCATTGGAAATGAGGCACATAATGACATAAACTATGAACTTGGCTATTGAAAACACATCTTTAGACACTATATGCAGTGAGTCCAAAAGGAGAAAAAATGGCACATATTGTATTGAACTGTGTTGTAATACGTACATTTGATGAATTAAAAAAAATTGAACAGAATCAAAAGTTATCAAGCTTTCAATGAAAATTCAACTAAATTTTTATTTTCCAAGGTTTATTTTGTCTTCATTTCAATGTCAATTGCTCAACATGTTCATGAGATCTCAATGTTGAATATTTGTTTCTCCTTCAGGACTTTTTTTTTAAGTGTCCACATCCTGAAGCTGTGTCCAGCATGTAGATGTCAGAGGAGACTTTTTTTAATTGAAGTCAAATCATCTGCACGGGTCAACAAATTTTTTATGGATGCATGTCATCTAATTTTTGCCTAGTCTAAAAAAAGGGCTAAAATGTTATTACACAATAAATGGCCCACATTCCTTGTTTCAAATACTGTACAATGCAATAAAAGAAAAAGTGGAATTACTGTATGTCTCAATTGCAAGTGAAATTGTATTACTTTTTAATCAACTGTGCCTTTACTACACTTTGTTTTGATACCTTAAATTTTGGCCATCAGGGGTGTGTAATAGGAGCTGCACTCCATTGAAGGCCATGGGAAATGTGCAATCTTTGAATGAATGCTTGGACCTCTATTGAAGCATGTGCAGCTGGACCTTATACCACAAACCTTCCTGCTTTGCGAAATTTTTAATTTTTCAACCAGGGTTGAATTTCGTCAAGAACAACATAAATTAAACCTCCCTAATTCAAAGACTTTCCCCTTAAAACAGTCATATAAACTTCAATTTCAAGAGGGCTTTGGGATATTACAGTATTCTGGTTACAGATGATATAGATGGGCAATAAAAATTTGCTGTTAAGAAGGCAGTGAATGACTCATTAAGAGAACTAATATTTACCTACAAGTTGGGCATCTGGCATGCCTACTGATTTATTCTGCAGTTTAAGGCTCAGAAGATCACTAATTTTAATACTGTAGTCTATTTTTTCATATCATCCAGTAAAAAAAAGCTTTTTCATAACTAAAATAATCCTTCACTGCAAAAATGTTTGTTGGTCTCTTGCAGGGTTTCCTTCGAAGTTGATCTTCAAGAAATTCAACTGAACTGTATATGGGTTATGTAATATACAGTGAAATCTTGTCACAAAAATCTTTTGGAGAATTCAGAAGAATTTATTTTACTGGACAATTTTTATCATGAGATTTAAAAAATTATTGACTGGAAAAATTTGTCACATCAAACCTGCTTATAATCAATTCAATCTTTCTTTTCAGGTCGTTTTTTACTGTTTAAAAACTGAGTAATATATCTTCTGAAAATTTATTTCAATCATGCAAAAATTATTTCCATGAGTTGCACTAATCTCCCATTCATTCTGGGAGGATGATGTGTGTAACCACTTGAAACCATGTTTGTCATTGATTACAGCTGTGATCCATTCTGAAAGAAGTCACATGTGGTATTGGGGATTTCAGACTCTACCTGTCTTAATCAAAAAATTTATACCTGGAGAATCTTTTGAGCATTCCTTGAAAAAATTTATTTTACTGGAATGCAGAAGTTTAATATAGGAATATTGTTTCAAAATTCACTCTATGGGCTTTCTGCCAGGACTTGAGAAAGAATGTGTTGTATGCTGAAAACTTGGTTGTACCTTGTAACCCTATTTTTTTTAAGCCAGATGTTTACTCTACAGTGAGAACCTGAGATGCAGATACCTGTACTGTATAATTGGTGTTGGGACTGTGTCCATAAGTCAAAATATCTGCATGTTGGATCTCAGTTACTGATTAACTTTAATGTTAACATATTTGACGGCTGGTTCTCCAGTTCATAAGAAATTAGAAATAAATCCCCAATAAATTCAAGTAAAATGTGTTTCTGAATTGAAAGATGCAGAACGTAACTGTGCAGAAGAAAACAAGACCAAATCTGAAGATTCTGAAATCAAAAGGACACGAAAAGAAAAGCAAAAGTACAATTCTTCCGGCACAGGGCACAGATGATTCAGAATACTCAAAAAAGAATCATAAAAGTGGATACCCCCAACACTCCATTTGTGATTCTCAAAACTCAATGAAAATACTTTTTCTAAAATGTCATGAAAGACAAAGATAACCTGTTAACCTAATGTGATTTATCATCTTCAAAGATTCTCTCCAAATTGCTTGATCAACTAAATACTAAACCTTATCTGGGAGCAGGCTTGTGCTTTAGTCTGGTTTTAGTAATTTCCTTATTATGCTGCAATTCTAATTACTGTTTGTTTTCATTATCAGGGAAGAGAAGAAAGTCTACGTACTGCATTTAAATCAGTCACGCAATAGTACTTTTTGGGGTGTATGTTCTTTTTCTTTTAATATCCAAATACAGTTCAGCTTATTTCTCTGTTTTCCTTTCTGATGTGATGGAATGCATTTGAATGCACATGGGTGGGGAGGGGAGGGGATTTGGATGCAGGAACATTGCTTGCACCTTGTGAATGCTGAAAAGCAGGAAAAAAGCTTGCCGTTTAATTCAAAATCATCAAACAAATGAAAATACTTTTGATCATAAATGTAAGTAAATTTTTGATAAAGTTCATTTTTACTTCTATTATTCTATAATGAAAATAAATAGCTCAATTTGTTCAGGAGATATTAAACTTTTAAAACAGAAAAGTTTTCTATATTCCACACATTTTGGGATGTGTCCATACAATAAGATTTTGTCTTAATGTTGGGTCTGCTTTTTTTACATTTCAAATGTCTCCAACAACTCAAATTGTTGATATGTCAGGTTATCTGCATATTGGAGTCCCACTAGATATAATTTACAAGTACAGTGAGACCCCCACATGCAGACAATTCTACATAGGAACTTTTATTTTTCAATTAAAAAAGGGCCCAACATATGGACACTGACTCAACATGTGGACATTACATGATAAAATTTTCAATACAATTTCAGGAAAATTGACTTTTATTAGGTTTACTTGCAAGGAACATATATTCCCAACACTAAGATCTATGCAAAAACAATTCTTTTTGGTACTTTTCCCATCACTTTCCCATCCAATTATCTAATTCAATAAATTACCTATAGCACAGAGGGACTTCCTTCTCTCTTTGTGAGTTGGATGTTATTTTTACAGATGCCAACATTTCAAGGTAATGTACAGAGGCACACTATTCAATGCTCCAAATGCTCTTATTGGGTTCAAAATATATTCACTGAATAAAATTCAAGTGGCAAACAAATTTTGTTTTCACGGAATTCTGTAGAATATTTCTTCCATAAAACATCAACTAAAAACTATATAATGTGAGTCTATGGGTAAAGGAGACTCAAATTAGGGACACTCCTCCTGATGCACCTATACTATGCCAGCATCTGAGGCTGTCACTGTACTGTATACATATACAGTATATTTTTTGCAGGTACCTGGAGGCCAGTCGAGACTTGGCCCCCGGCGCTGAGATCCTGCGTGAGCCAGCTCTGGTCGCCGGGCCAAAACAGGTCACCACGCCGGTGTGCCTGGGCTGCTACAAACCACTCACAGCACCTCCTGCTGCTGCGGCGTCCAGCAGCAGCAGCAACAGTCGAGATGACCACGACACATCAGCAGCAGGCGCCGACAATAAAGACTCCTCCTCCTCCTCCTCCTCCTTCTCTTGGTGTTCGTGTCCCGGCTGTGGCTGGCCGCTCTGCTCTCTCGCCTGCGCCACTGCTGCGTGCCACGCCGAGTCGGGCGAGTGCGACGCCTTGAGTCGTGGTGGCGGCGGCGGGAGTGGCGAAAGAGGAAAGCCGCCTGTGATGGTCAAGTTCAAGGACGCGTCCGAGCCGTGTCCGCAGTACGAGTGCATCATTGTGTTGCGAGCGTTGCTGCTGCGTGAGAGAGACCCGCTGCGTTGGAGACTGCTCATGCTGCTCCAGTCGCATGATAATGCTGCTGATGCTGCTGGAAATGAGGAAGAAGGAAATGGGCCGTGTGTTGAGGATTCCCCTCCTGCTGCTGCTGCTGCTGCTGCTGCTGATGATGATGGTGGCATCCAACGACCCCCAGAACTGGTCCACTACATCAACGTAAGGGCTGTGATGATGAGGAGCAGGCATGGCAATTTAAATACTGTACAATGGGACCCCACAGATGTAGACATATAATTGGTGCATCAAGAGTGTCCCTATAAGTTGAATTGTCCCTAAGTTGAGTCTGGTATTCCCATAGACTTTACATTATATAATTTTTAATTGGTGTTTCATGAAAAAAAATATTCCTCAGAATTCCATGAAAAAAAAATTGTTTGCCTCTTGAATTTTATTCAGTGAATATATTTTAAACCCAATAAGAACATCTGGAGCATTGAATAGTATACCACTGTAAAGTTAATTGAATTGTTGGCATCTGTAAAAATGACATCCAAGTCACAAAAAGAGAAGGAAGTCCCACTGTGCTATAGGTAATTTCTGTCAATTAGCTGAATGGATGGGAAAGTCATGAGAAAAGTACCAAAGAATTTTTCTTGCATAGATCTTATGGTTGGAAATACATGTTTCTTGCAATTAAACCTAATAAAAGTCAATTTTAAAATGTATTGGCAATTTTATCATGCAATGTCCTTATGTTGAGTCAGTGTCCATATGTTGGGCCTTTTTATGATTTTTTTTATTGAAAAATAAATGTCCCTATGTTGAATTGTCCCCATGTTGGGGTGTTTGCATGTGAGGGTCTCACTGTACTGTAAAATGATCATCACAATTGTGTAAAACCCATTTCAATGACAATCTCCTACTTATGTGCTTCGAAAAGGGATATAAACAATTTAAGACAAAAGATTCAAGGCAGGGACAATTTGAGACAGAAACAGTTGATGACATTGTACAATTTGAGAGGAGGACCATTTGAGACAGTGAGCATTTGTGACAGAGACAGGGACAATCAGAGATTAGGACAAATCCTGACAAGGACAGTTTAATACAGGAAGAATTGGAGTTTTCATAATTATGCTTGGGGAAATTTTGAGGCAGCAAAAACCAAAGGCCTGGGAATTTTGAGACAGGATTGGAGACACTATAGCAATAAAGGAGTGGGCAATTGAAACCCCATCAGCAGTGCTGACTACTGCCACAGGATGTCATAGCCAGCAGCAATTTTGATGTTCTATGCATGCTCAATTCTAATGAAGAAACTGTCTTTTAAAATACTGCTGTCATTGAGCAAAGAGGTGATGCTTATAGTATAGCCAGAAATCTCCATCTTCTGGGATCATTCCAGAGGAATATAGCAAGTTGGATGGGGAAGAATGTTTCGTGTATGATTCTGTGGAAGAATAAGATTGAGCCAGAACTCTCATACTGTATTTGGAAGTTAAAGGACTATGATAATAGGGAGAGGTCAGCATGGAACTCCATTCACGCGTCTGTCTCAAATTATGCAAGTAAAATTGGGCTCCTATAATGTTCCTCTCTCAAATTTTACATGTCTTCTGCACTTGCTCTTGTCTCCAAATTTGTTTCTAAATCAGAAGCCAGCAGTCTAAACTGCTGGTTGTATATGGGGCTGAGGACTACTGGGTTTCAGGAGGAGAGTCACAATAAGTGTGCACTGGTGCTGTAGACAAACTTTTTTTTTTGCAAACCCAGGGTTTTACATTTGCTAATACAGTATCCTGTTTCTATACACACATTTGGTGTACACATCATGCAGCAGGGTTACAGCAGATATATACCCCAGGTGTATAAATTACACACAGCTGGTGCAAATTTGAAATACTCATATGTAAAAGCAAAAAAGGTTGGTGCTCAGCTTAAGGTGCCAGGTAACCAGCACTGTATGCTTATGTGTAGCCGCCCAACTGTAAGCCAATCTTCTCACTTGCTGGAGAGCACTGAAAGCTGTAATGCTATACCTGTACAGCAGTGCTGCTGTCAAGCATCATCCGTATAACTGATATCCTTTATTTGCTCTACATCCAGGTGAATATAGTGTCTTACATTCGAGACCACCTCCACTTGGGCGACATCTTTTCCGGAGACATTGTTCGTCGCGTGGCCGGCATTGTTGATATCAACGCATTCGAGCTGAAGGATGGCGACAGGCTCTACTGCGGCGTCTTCTTCATGAGCGCCATGATGGCGCACAGTTGCGTCGTCAACACAAGCCACTCGTTATTCCTCTCTAAAACTGACGCCGAACAGCAAGTCCAACGCGATGATGATGAAGAGCAGCAAGTTCTTTTGGTAATACGAGCCACAGTTCCGATCCCACACAACGCCAGCATCGTCACATCGTACGCACCAGCCTTGGACGGCACTCTGGCTCGCAGACCGCACCTCTTGCGTGCTAAGCTCTTTGCGTGCACTTGTGCGCGCTGCGCTGATCCCACGGAACTGGACACGCTTTTCGGAGCCATCAGATGCTGTCACGCATCCTCGGGATGCACAGGCGCTCTGATCTCGGAGCAGCCCTTGGACGACATGGCGTCCTGGGCGTGTAGTAATGCACCGGACTGCGATGCGCGGATGTCAGTGGATGATGTATTGAAAGCCGTGGATGATGTCACCAGGGATGTGGAGAAAGCAGGCGAGGATGTGGTTCGACTTGAGCAGGTGCTGAAGACTCAGAGGGCGTTGGCAGACACGCATTACGTGGTGTTCGGGGTGAAGGCGAGCTTGGCGCAGCTGTACGGACGGGTGCCGCGGTTCTTGCTGAGGGACTTGCCGGCGGGGCTGTTGAAACGTAAAGAACAGTTGTGTAGGGAGGTTTTGGATGTCCTAAGGGTGCTCGAGCCGGGGTTCTCTCGGATGCGAGGTGAGACATTGAAAGATTTCATCAGCTGAGAGGCAAATTTAATTCCGATGAATCCATATACTGCTCGTAAGTTTTTTGTATGGTATCCCGTGGTTAAAATGACGCTCAGTGATTCATGACATCCATAGTTTATGAAAAGGTGAAGGGAGCATGAGTTGAACTGCTTGGCCGCTGCCGTGTCATGACTCATGATATGACTCAAATGTAAGATGCATCATCTATTAATGATTGCAGCTTAAACGAACATTTATAATTGCATATAGTTAAGACCTGAGTTTTGCCCTGATTCCACTAATGTGTGCCAAAATTTGTCAACAGAAAGTAAATTTTTCAGATACAGTAGAATCTCGCTAAAACAAATATATTGTTAAAATGAATACCGAAATTGCTTAAAACGATAAGCTGTTCTAATAGCTCCCTGTCCATGTGTTACTTTGAAAAGTTCCTATAAATCTAAGCTAATCTACTGCTGGTCCCAACAATGGCTCCTGTAATTTTAGTGAGATTTTACTGCGTCACAGTTTTTAAATTTTGTCATACTTACAGAAATGGTGGATTCTTTGTAACAAATGCAAAGGAAAAATAGTGAGAGAGGGTTATAACCGCATGGTGTTAATTTCCAATTTTCTTCAACCAGCCAAATACTGCAGCACAATCCACGTGAAACTGCTGTAGTTCAAGGAAAATATAATGCAAAAACTGTTTGGGAAAAACTAGGAAAATGGGAAATTGCAATCATGCCCGGGCAATGCTCACCTTGAACGGGGTACATTATTTATGTACAGCATCACAAGAAAGCTAGGCATACGAAATTCTTTGAAAAATGGTGCCCTTTTAACATTTCCCCTATATGAAGTAAAAATGCAATGCTGAGGAAGTGGAATGAATCGAGAATTCTCTCTCCGTGAATTTTATTAGATACATGAAAAAATCTGTTTTCCTTCGTATGTTGAGTGCAGGGTTGCTGCTGTATGAATTCCATGCAGCGGTATTGATGCGAGTGAACGCGTTGTTCGATGGGGACGCGAGTCCAGCAGAATGTCTACCGCTCCTGGTTGAGGCTCGCGCTGCTCTTGCGGAAAGCGCGCTGATTCTAGGCATGGAACCCGCCCGGGCTGTGGAAGGTCGGATCGGCCGAACAGCAGCCAGCCAAGTTGCTGAGTTGGATGACTGGATCCATAGAGTGGGAGCTATCGTCTGAACTACAGTACTCCTGCTGAAGAAGAACATGCATGAAGGATCGAACTACTTCGTTTCAAGTCAGATGAGCGTGAAGTGGGAACAAGAAGAGAGCGACATCTTATTTCGAGTTGCGCGCCGTGCAGAATGCCCGCTCGTTTGTTTTCAGCGGGAAATCCTTGCCTGATGAAGTTGCTTCTCATCTCTCCCACATGTGCTTTTGTTGGGGCTTTTGTTTATTCTGAGCGGAAAACTTCGCTTTAGATGAATTATGTACGGCGTGCACACTTCTGGTTATGAACTTCGCAGGTTTCCGACGTTGACGTAACTTTCATGATATTTGTTTAAACTGCCGAAGTTGTTTGCGCGGTTGTGAATTTTGGAAGTCATTGAATGTGTGATGAACTGTGTGTAGCTCATTTTATGTTAGATCCATACGTAATGTCGGATTGACCAATTCGGCAATCATCTTAGCTTCTGAGTTTTCGGATTGAGTTGTATCTTGCGTGGTGTACTAAGCTCTTGATGATACGTTTCACGTTCATTTTACACAATGCTGCAGTGTTGGCGTCCAGTTCTGTTCTTAAACATTCTTGCTGAACTCGTTCTTCAGCTGTGCATGCACGCGTGTACTTCGCGTTTCCAGCAAGGAAATAAATCCGCGCATTCCGCTACAAAAATAGAAAAACTGTGTCTCTTTGTTGAAATTTTTCTGATTTGACAAATCTTTGTCCACAGCGTCTGCCGAGGGACTGTTGGAATGATGTAAGAGAGATTCGTCGTTGTCTGTTCTTCAACTCCGTATCTGTGCGCAGACTAATGTCCAAATGTTCATCTGCACATTTTGTTTCTGAAGGTAGATGTACATGTTATACAACGCTTCAACTTGATCGAAATCTATCGTTTTTCGCCAGATGCTATCCACGTACATCCCTGTAATAATACTGGAGAATATCAATTGATGAAAGAGAATCGAATTTTACTTCCGCGATGATAAGTTGAAATCTTTCTGCCGCTTCGAGATGTCGATAACTCCGACACATCAATTTAAGTAGGGTCCCAACGTGATCCTCGATTCACCTTGTTTCGGATGAATGTCCTCGTCTTAGTGAAAGACTGGAAGTATTCCGTGATGTTCAATTTTTGCGATACATTGCATCTCAGCAATACATTCAGTAATTTGTCCCCATTTTTTTCACGATTTGGGTTTCAAATCGCTCCCGATTGAACGAATGTCGTGATTGTAGCATTCGTGGTCAGGCCATTCTCTCATATTTTCTTTCCATTTTCAGCCCTAAAATGTTTTATCGAGCGTTGTGAATGTCGCAACAGCTAATCGAGTGACCACAGGTTTCGAGGAGTGTTGAAGAGAATGATGTCAAATCGTGGTAGCCAAACGGACTTTCGTGAATCTTCCACGCAAACTGCCGGAGACCCCACATCTCTCGGAATGTCGTGCTACCCGCGATCAATCGCTCGACTTCTTGGGGAAGGTATGACGTATCCAATTGAAGTGGTTGATTTTGATTTGTTGAAGCGTGATTGTTATCAAAGCAGCTGAGGATCATCAGCTCTGGGATGCTTCAATTACGCAAAAACTTTCCTTCGGTGTTCCGCTAGAGCAATTTGATTTCTGTTTCGAACCTAGCAGCTTCTTCAACAAAACTAAATGGGTAAGAAGGTTTCTTGTAAACTTTAGTTGTTTGAGACACTTAAGAGACTTGATAAGTGTGGTGTCATGTCTCGCTTTCGCTGAAAAAATGTTCTTCCAGGATATATTTCTTGTGTTTACATTACCTCATCGTAGGTATGCCACGAAGTCAATCAAGGAACGTTGTCCGACACGTTGCTCAACCACGAAGTTGGACGATCGTGGATTGATAACGGGACAGACGCGTCTTGCAAACGTCGACATAAATTGAACCTTGCTGATTGGAGCATGAAATGTTATAATCCGGCTGAATCGAGAAGCTGTGACGCACTCCTCAGGAGATATTCTGAGCGTGAGTATAACCTTGTTCAAAATGTAAGCTGGCGTAGCATTTAACCGTAGACATCTTCTGGGAATTTTGGCGATATGGTTCGATTAGGAGCTTCGGTGTATTATTTCAAGCAGTTTTCTCAGATACATTACCCGGTTTTTCTTGGAACGCCTGTTCCCAAGACGAGCTTGAACTGTGAGGTGCAAATTTTTTTTGTGTAGCTTTTACGTACGTCATGTTGAACGCGTGCTTCCGAGTGACGAGCAGAAATGAGGAACAATTTTTCTGCGTGCATATTTTCCAAGGTCGAAGAATGGTGGAACTTTCCGAAACGGCATTGAACAGAAAACTTCATCAGTTGAAAGCATCATGTCTGGGTAATCAAGATTTCGATCGCTCGCTTCGACAATTTGATTTGGATGAAGGGCCATGCAAGTGCCGGCGCAAGGAACGTGTCCAACAGCCAAAGAAGCACCCGAAAGCGAGTTCCTTATTCTCTGGTAAGTTTATTCTGAGAAATCAATCGACTTATTTTTTGTTCTGGTTAAATTTATGAAGATTAGCGTCAGTCATATGCTTCACTTGATGGTGATGAGTGTAATTTTTTTAAGAATGATATTTGGTAAGTTTTAAGTTTAAAACAAGAACGGACGTAAGTTTATCAGTCTAATCACTGTGATGGTGCGAAGTACAATCCTGTTAGTCAATTTCATTATTACAATATTTTCTGGCTGTTTCTGTATAGGGACAATGGTATAACAATGTCATTCTGACAATTAATACCCGCTCATGATGCGCACCCCCTTGTTTCCTCTTAAATTTTATAACAAATGTTCACGTGGTAAATGAGTAAATGTGGTATCCGGAACAAAATGGGAAAACCGTACTGGTGTCTAATTGAAAAACCTTCAAAAATGTAAATGCTGATCATTCAGTGCCGAAAATATACATTCCGGTGAGTATGAAGCTCTAATCAAAATTTGTTCAGCTTTATTTCAGAATTTATTAATGGCTAATTAGAAAACTACATTTGAGAGGATATTGCTATATTTCAGGGAACGCAGAGTTATTGATAACAGCTCATGCTTCACTGGTATTGGTACATTTTTTGGTACAATATATATGCACTGGTACAAAAACCTTTAAATGTTCAGAAAATCGAAATATGCTCTCAATGACTATGTTCCACTTAAAAATGCGTTTATTGTTGTAAATTTTTCGCTGAAGAGCTTGAATTTGAAGTTTTTTCAAATTTTCGATGGGTAAGCAAGATGTTGCCCCATTCCCAACATTAAACCGTCATTGGAAAGATCTTCAGCAACTGTGAAGATTCGTGCTCTTAAGTTTAGTTGTTGATCTCACGCTTTTTTTGAGGAGTGCACTTCTTCGCCAATCCTCATATTGCAATGATGGCATCACTCCAGTTCGGGGTTATAGCAAATCAAGTATGGTTGTCAATCGTGAATTAGGTTTTGGAGCATTTCGTTATGCAGGAAGTGTTTTGGTTCCTTTGCGACCTTGATCTTTTCGTATATTGAATCGGACACCATTTCATGGTGATGTACCCGTATTAATGAAAAAAATTCAACTATTGAAAATTGAAATTCTTAGGATCAGTGGACCCTGCTGCGGTGGATGACATGGTGGACGAGGTTACTGAAGCTTTTGTTGACACACTTCTCAACAATATTTTGAGATAGCAGAGCACCATTTGTGTCGGTGCTTTTTGATCGAAAATCTTGGTTGACACGCATCTTGTGAGTTTACATTGCCTGGTTTCTATGTTGATTTAATTTGTTTTTTGTCAATGTACCTCAATAAAATCAAAACAGGGAATGTCTAAAGACTTCGGCAGAGCAGAGACAATGCCTTGTAATATTGTAGGCCTTAAATTCCTGCTGAAATTAGTTAACGGCATGTTGAACTTGGAGGCGAGGGTTAATTTGCCGAAGTCTTCCACTTTCTTTCAAAGCACATCAAGTGATACAGTGAGACCCCCAGATGTGGACATGATTGGTGCATCAAGAGTGTCCCTAAGTCGAGCCTTGTTTTCCCATAGACTTACCTTATATAATTTTTGATAGGTGTTTTATGAAAGAATTATTCTTCAGAATTCCATGAAAACAATGGTTTGCCACTTGAATTTGATTCAGTGAATATCTTTTCAACCCAATAAGAACATTTGGAGCATTGAAATAGTGTACTGCTGTACAGTTCATTGAATTGTTGGCATCTGTAAAAATAACTTCCAAGTGAAGCATAGAGAAGGAAGTCCCTCTGTTCTATTGGTAATAATTCTTCAAAATTAACTCAATGGATGCGAAAATTATGGGAGAAATACCAAGAATTTTTCTTGCATAGATCTTAGTGTTGGAAATGTCTCTTTCTTACAATCAAGCCTAATAAAAGTCAATTTTACGAAAATGTATTGGCAATTTTACCATGCAATGTACTCATGTTTGGTCAGTGTCAGTATGTTGGGACCTTTTTATGATTTTTCTTATTCGAAAATAAATGGCCCTTTGTCAAATTGTCCCCATTTTGAGGTGTCCACATGTGGGGGTGTCACTGTATTTTTTCATTTATTTTTCTCTCTTTGGTGTCAATAAAATGATGGACAAAAGACCTCCAGAAAATTCGAGGCTGGGATGTTTGAGGAGGAAAGCTTTTTGAGTTGAGGAGGTTTTTCATGTATTGTTTTCAAGGAAATACAGATTTCAGAATGGTACTCGAAATAAATTCTGCTTTGTTAGGTTAGGGTTATCGAGGTTCAACTGAATATAGTTTGCTGAAATCTTACAGGAAAGAAGCTTAGCGTACCGGGTAGCTGGCTGGTATTTTTTGCGGAAGCTTTCATCTGAACCTGTTTTCATCCAGCTTTGATCATCTTGACTTTGGAGTTGTCAGTCTATGTTGACAGGGCTTGTGTTTTCCGTTCCGTGGGAACGCCACGCGGATCGTCATGTGTTTTTTCTTTGCAGTTGTTACAAAGTTTTGTTCAGTGACTTTCCGATTTTGTGCGCTCAAGTTTGCTTTGGTTTTCTCTGGCGTATGCGTTGAATTTTTCAACTTCGATGTGCAATTCTCAGTCTCAATTTGACTGATGATTCTGAAGCTTCTGTTTTGCGAGGCTTATGAAGAGGTTGAATTCGCTTTTTCCGTATACCGAAGGCAGTGTGTGATGGCTTTTTTTAAATTTTCTAGTCAAGTCTTGAGAAGTCGATTTCGTTTGGTGAAAATATGTTTGTGTGCCCTCGTCGATTTTGTTCAGGAATAAGTGCCATCATTTCTGAAGCGTGATGATAATTAAACCTTTGTTTGTGGCTTGGACTTCTTCCGAGACCATTTTCGTCGGTACATGAACTCACCTGTGAATTACGGATCTCAAATCTGCATTGATTGAAATAATAGAGTGTGCTTCGCATAATTTCGAGTGATTTCTTGCATCGAAGTGTCATATAGTGGCTCATGTTTTTGTTCTTCTACGTTCTGTGTTCGTGAAGTGAGTGTAGGAATCAGTTTTGCTCGTCATGGGTTCGCTTTCCGGGTCTCCGGGCATAATACGGTGTGAGCCAACAGTGAAGCAGCAAATTAATTTCCTCGTCCGCTGGTTTGCCGGTTGGAGCGAAATGCAGAAATCTGATTTCGTTCCTGCCCTTGTGAAGAAGACGTCTTCATGCGGGATCAATGGGATCGTGGATCTTTTAGCCGATACTAATTTGAAGGTGTGTAGTATTTATTTTTCGTGTCTAATCATATCTTTGGGTTTTTGACAGCCTGTGAACGAAGGTGATCGTTCAACACGAAGTGTGATGTCAGCGTTTTTTGTCAATTTTTTTCAAATGAGATTCTTCGAGTACCCACGTTTCTGAGCTGTAATCCTTCGTACCGCTGTTGTACTTGCCAGATTTGAAGCAAGACCTTGTTTATTTTGCCAATATTTTTCTTGAAATGCTGCTCAGAGGTGAACAGTTTATTTCTTTTTAGAGCAGTCTTAGGCATCACCAACGCAGAAACGGGGTGAACTCGAAACCCCGTTTCATTTAAACATGGTTTTTTTTAATTTGAGCCATTTTCACAGGTACATTTTAGATGAATTTGAATTACTGTAGTTCGTTGCGTTTTCTGCGCCTGTGCATTTTTGGATCCTGTGAATTATCTGTGAACCTAGTTACTTTGCATTAGTTGGTTGAAATTGAAAGAACGGTTGGCAAATGCTCGAATACCGTAGTAATCTGTGAAAATCCCGTTCATGGTCTATTCACATAACGATACGAAAAGAGTAAGCACATAATTTATGAACTTATGATGCGCTTTGAAAAGCCGGGGAAGAACTGATAGGGGAAAATGAACCCTTTGCGTACGTTGCTTCTGCATTCTTGCTATTAAACCTACTCCGCTTCTCCGTAGGAAACCCGGCCAACTTTATTCTCGTGCCAAATGAAGCTGTTCGACGAATGGTGTGACGCCTGGACAGACGACGAGAAGCAAGAATTCATTTCTCGAATCCAAGAGATTGACGGCGCGTTCTTTGACAAGTACCAACGGACATTAAGTGGGGAAGAAGACCGAGTTGCTGCCGAAATGGAGCGAGAATTCATGTCCATTTTGGCGTCTGCTCACGTGGAGCGCGAATCATCTTCCGACGTCGTGACGCCGGAAACTGTCCTATCTGACATCGTCACAGCCGAGCAGTTTGTCGGTCAGCACGCCACTCTCGTTTATGTCGAAGATGACAAGTCTTCTGACCTGAGCCCGGCAGAAGAGACTGGGAGCACTGAGCAACTGACCACACCCAACAGCGACAAAGAACCTGATGTACCGGCCGAGGATTGCGATGATGCCGGGGGTGTATAATCACCACCGACATACAGTGGACCCTTGGTTGACAACTCACTTGGTTCCAGACAAAAGTTTTTAAATTTTCCCATAGACTTCAATGGGGAAGAATTTAATCCAGTCTGTGATCCCAAAAGACCATCAAATATTGAATATTGAAAAAATTCAAGACCGTGAACTAAAATCGGAATAAGTTGATGAGCCCAGATTGTTGTTACAGTGTTATATGGAAGTACAGTAGTACTGATGAAAAAAAAGATAAAAAAAAAGCTTTACATCCCAAGAAACACATACTAAACTACTAAAGGATACATTTCTGGGGAATATGAAAGTTCTTTTCTTCATGCTGCTAGTAAATGTTTCAAACAATTGAACAAAAAAGCAAATAATTCTTTCACCGAAAATCGCAAATAAATGATGCAGCTAAAAAAAATTTCAAGACACAAGACTATGCACATTGCAAGTGCCAGAAGGGAAGAATTTTCAAATCGGTGCATAGGTGAATTATTTGCACTTGGATTCTACCATAAATTTCAGCTCCAAAAACAAATTTTGAATCTTCACCTTCAGGAATTTTTTCCAAGAAAAAAGTTTGTTGACCAAATTTTAGTTTGTTAGCTGAGGGATTTTTCCTGAAAGTTAAAATGTTGTTAACCAAGTACAGTAGTTTCTTGACTAAGGGTCCACTGTACAATGGGTTTTAACTCCTGGGACTAACAATTGTGCATATTTTGGAATCTCTTTTCAAGTGTCGACTTCTTGCGCGCTGTGTTCAGAACTCGGCGAGCGACAAAGGAAAAGAAACAAACATTCGTTGATCATGTTTACTCGACCGTTCCAAATGCGACGTTAATGCTCGTTTTGAATGCTCTCTATGTTGATGACTTCCCGACCATTCCATGAAGTAAAGTGAAGAAAAGTTGTGTTCTCACCGTTTTTCGGCAAGATTTTCTGCACTGTGCAGATGGATCTACGAAGAGGGATCTGATTCTCAATGTGTTTTTCTCAAGGGAATCATTCCCTGGTTTTGAGTGATCTTTTTTTTTTAGAGAACAGGTTATGGGATTTTTCGTTGAATATGTGCGAATTATGCGATAAGCGTTTAGGTTGTTTTGGATTATTTAAAATTACAGAGAGGTTTTTTTATGTATGGCGAAGGTTCTTTCTAATATATTCAGTATAGAGTGAAAAGTGCAGTCATTGTTTTCGAAAATACATGCTCGTCCAGAAACCCGCGCAGAATTGGCAACCCCGGCTTCCTTTGAGTTTAAAACCGCATTTCAAGGAGGATGACGATGTACCGGTTCAAAAATAATCGGGTCAGAAATACTCACCTGATCTGACCTTTGGTTACTGCTGCGATTTTTTCTGGATTTTGAAAGGCATTTTTCGAGCGTGTCTCTCATCCTGGTTAAGTCTTTCAGGAGACGGGGTTCCTAATGTTGCGCATACTTCTGGGTGTGCCTTTGTCTCTAGAACCATTTTTCCATGCTTGATTGTATCTTTCTACGAAGCATATTCACGGATAGCTGGTATACTGGTTTTCACTGTGAAGTACATTTTACAGCAATTTTTGATTCCTGAAGCACCATGCACCTTGAAAACTGGAGTCAGCAGCAGCACAAAGAACCTGAATCATGGGAAACAAGAGCCTGATAAATCTTGTAGCAATATAGTTGTATCTCAATAACTCAAACCTTCTTGTGTCAATCTGAGTCCCTGTCCAAATTTTCTTGAAAACAATGCATTAAAAATCCCCCAAATGCAAAGGATTCCCAGTCAAACTTCTTCAACTTGAATTTTTTAACAGTCTTTTGGCTATTATTTATATTCATGAAATTTGACTTTGTATGTTCTAGATGGAAGTGAAAGACTAATTTAGCAAATGAGCCCTTGCCTTTAACTCAAGCATCCTGTCAACTCATTTGAGAAGCAATTTATGGCCAAAAGTATCACTAATTACAATTTCCTGTAATCCATCTTTCTTTCCCCACAAACTGAAAAGCTGGTTTCCTATCTTGATTATTTTTGCTTTACCCTTGAAGTTCAACTTCAAGAGTTAGGACTTTATCTGTGGTTGCTTTGGCAAAACCGTATCTAATTTAAGCATCGATTGCATGTTCTCTGTGGCACTGCCTTCCTGGCTCTAATTCAAGGTGCGCTGCTTCTTCACGCTATAATTTGCAACGGTATCCTTGTAAGAAAATAATGAGAACCGAAATTCTAGTTTCAAACGAGAAGAACTTCATGCGATTTTTGTGGGAAATATTACTCACGGAAGATCCTTCTGTGCGATGGCAATAATGAACATCTCACTCTCGTGCGTCGAGCTGCAAAAAAAACAGAAGAAATTTGATTTCCGTTCCGCTTAGTTTGTGCGCAGGCTTATATGAATGGACAGTCCTTCGACGCCGAACAATCGGCACTGGAGTAGAAGTAGTTTCGGAAGTGATACAGACGCGATGACCGTGTGCACAACAGTGAGCGTGCGGAACAGTCTGGGCAGTGGCAACGGGATCCTCGAGGAAGAAGAGTTGTCCGAGGTTGATCAAGATGTGGAGGATGAAGTTTTCGTGCGGGAACCGAATCGTCGCGGTTTCTCCTTGCTTTCCTCTGTGGGAGACTTCAAGAACAGGGATCCGGCTTTGGTGAAGCCGTTGATGGCTCCACGGAAGAAGGTGTGTGTGTGTGTGTGTGTTTGTTTGTTTGTTTGTGGTGAAGTGCTTTGACGCATTCGCTCGTCTATACTCGCATGTGGAGCCATTTTTTGCTTGTTGAAAATTTCTTGCTTGCTGGTGAAGATGGTAAAAAATGGTGGAGTTCCAATTTCCTGTGGGAAAATCAGGCGGCAATGACTGTGCTTTTTCAAAGATGATTTTAGTAGAAGAGCTGTCTGTGATGGCTTCTTGAACACACCATTTTCAAGGAATCGGTGTGTTGAAAAATATGTGTACAATGGGTTTAACAAATGATCTTGGAATAGAAATTGAAACAGCATATGGTTGAGCTGAAAAATGATTGTTATTTGGGCTGTTGGAGAAATATTCGAATGCTCAAGAAAAAATAATAATCCCCTTTTTGACATTATTTTACCTTTTTTTTGCCAAGTCACCCTGGCAGCTTTCTGCTCTTTGCAAAAAAGATGAGGTGCCCATCTTGCAGATTTTTTTTGCTTACCCCAGCTATCTTTTTATAATATTTTAAATTGACATGGCATTCAATCCAAAAGTTGCTGCAATTAATTAAGTCTGTCATTTTCATCAACAACCGCCTTCACAGTTGCAACTTGGGATGAGAATGGGGTGGCTGTTGATGGAAAAGGGCAGAATTACAGTGGAAGACCTGAAGGTATGACCCTTGGAGTCAATGCATTGTCAATTTTGAGAATTCTGAAGGAGAAGCTAGGTACACCAAAAATCTGCAAGATGGGCGCATAATATTTTTATCAAAGAACAGAACAACGTCAGGGTGACTTTTGTCAAGAAGGGCGGGCTGCAATTTTGTTCATGCGTCAGAGCATTTTTTTTATATACCGGTAATTGTTTTTCAGCTCAATCAAGTGCCATTTAAAATTCTATCCGGAGAATTTTTGTTGGACCCCTTGTATGTAAAGCTTAAAAATGTTGCAACGGTTTGAAAACAAATCTATGTCCCCAGTTTAAAACGACTTGAAAAAAAACACCTTGTGCTTTCCCATGTTGGAACAGTGAACCTTCAGAGCTTGTTTTGACGTTGTTCATGTTTTTGTATTTAAGCTTCATGTGGATAACAATTCGGTGGTATTGAGGAGAGGGATGCTGTGCAGAACCTTGTGCCCCTTCATTTCCTACTTGATTTTGGCTTTCCTTCTGTTTTTAGGTGAGTACATTTTATTTGATGGATTGATTGCGCGAGCCGAAATTATAGAGGCAGATGAACACATGAGCCCTTCTCGTCTTAGGTGGAAGAAAATTACCATCAGTAAACCTTACCGATCGAATTTCTTTTTGTGTGTCTGATGAAACTTCGCTTCTTTCGTCCTCACGTGTATGTGTGTCAAGATTCGTGAGGGGCATTTTGTGAAATAGAAAGAATACATTTTGAAAAGAGATATTCGGGACGGAAAGAGAATTAAGTCTATAAATCCAGAAGCTAAAAAAGTGGTCATTCTGTACAACCAAATTCCTCCGAGCCGTCGGAAAACGCTTTTTTTTTAAAGTTTAGTTTTACCGCGCAGCTTTCTTCTTTTGTTATTGCCAAAGAGATATTTTATTCTAACAGCTTCTGCAGCAGTACAATATTCTTATTTTATTTTTCAGGCTTGATTGGACTAGTTGTCTTCATAGTGAATTATGTGATGGTTGCGATTCCGCTTCCTCGTATCATGACGTCGTCGTGGAAGTCGCAGGCCCCCTCCTGTGAGCAAGTGTCAAGTGCTGAAGACTGGGTACAAAAGATGGAAGGAGTGCAGGTTACGGCCTTTGCCAATTTCAAGATAACGGACGACCTCGTGTCCGATGTGGTTTTGGCGTTCTCAACTGGTTAGGGCCGGCCTCTAATTATCTGTGTTTTTAGCGCCGTGTTCTTGCGTTTGAGTTCCACATGCGTCGTGCCTTTCAGTTATTTTGCATGGTTGACATCATCGTCCGGTTGCTTCAAGAGGTTGGTTCCATTGGTTTCGATTTATGATGTTGCATTTTTTCAGTATACAAAGCAATTTTGTTCAGAGAATTTTTCATTATTACAAATTCTTTTCTTGGTCCCAGCAGTTTCTTAATAGGGGCAATTTTGTACGAAGTCATTTTCTTTTTCACGAATTTCTGCTATGATTATGTGTGCATGGGCCAATAAATGTTTACTAATTGGCACAATATGAGAAACCACAACTTGCACATAATTGAAAAATGTAAAAAATATAAATTCATGTCTGAAATTCAGTTTTTGTGTGTGTTTATTTATGAAATATTTTGGTTTTACTAGTTGCAAAGTAACTGGAAATGGGGTGCTTGTGTTACTCAGGGATGCAATTTTATCAAAATGTTTGACTGAGAGACCATGCAGTACTCAAGTAAAAGTGAGACCCCCAGATGTGAACATAATTGGTGCATCAAGAGTGTCCCTAAGTTGAGTCATTTTCCCTTAGACTTACATTATATAATTTTTAATTGGTGTTTTATAGAAGAAATATTCTTCAGAATTCCATGAAAAAAATTGTTCGCCACTTAAAATTGATTCAATGAATATCTTTTCAGCTCAATAAGAACATTTGGAGCATTGAATAGTATACTGCTGTACAGTACATTGAAATGTTGGCATTCTCTGTAATAAATAACATTCAAGTGAAAAATAGAGAAGGAAGTCCCTCTGTGCTATAGGTAATTTTTTAATTATCTCAATGGAGGGGAAAATGATGGTAGAAATACCAAAGAATTTTTCTTGCATAGATTGTAGAGTTGGAAATATCTGATTCTTGCAATTAGGCCAAATAAAAATCAATTTTCCTAAAAATTATTAGCAGTTTTATGATGCAATGTCTGCATGTTGAGTCAGTGTCCATGTGTCAGGCCTTTTTTATTGAAAAATAAATGTCCCTATGTCAAATTGTCCACATGTCAAGGTGTCTGCATGTGGGGGGCTCACTGTACCATATTCCTCCTGATGATCCTTGGTGTTTCTCTACTGTCTCACTGATGTTAAATTAACTTCAGATCCAAGCAGGAAAGTTTGACCTCTCCTGTTGATACATTTTTGCCTGTTCACAGGTTTGGCAGGCTTGTCTGGTGCACAATTGGCCTGTGATGCCTTCTTCAGCCGCTACATTGAGCAGGATACCGTCAAGGAATACGGGAGATCATGTGTTGGAGGTCTGCGTGCTATTGACGGTGCATCCGGGAAAGTTGTATGGAACACTTGGGTGGACCAGGTCATTGATGGTATCGATTGCTCTGAAGATTTGGATCATGACGGCACCCTGGACTGCTTGATTTGGGGACTAGTGAGTTGACCTTTGATCGAACGATTCACGAAGTGCATGAATGAACTGAACTTCAAGTGGACTGACTTGAAGAAGAAAAAAATTCGTGGGATGCATTCACTGGGAGTCCTTTTTGATGCTTCAAGTGTGCACGGCCTTTGATTGGATTGGCTTTTTGTGTTTTTGAGGTTCTTTGCCTTTCGGCTTTTGATGTCTTTCAAGTCTCATCTCTTTTTTTTACTACGCAGAGCAGATTCTTTTATCTCTTGATCTGTTGTTGGATGTACAAAACACGATTTTTTGTATCCTGTCTTAATTTGGGAAGTGGATCAGTTGAATGAATGCAAGGATTTTTTGCTATATGCAGTGGGGCCCCGACTTACGTACGATTCGACTTGTGACTAGAACAAATTTGCCCCCAAATCAGGACTGTATCTCGAGTTACGGACGTGTAGCCAAAATTTCGTGAAGAATGAAAAAATTTCCTTTTTTCAAAATGCTGATATTTCTCGAACAAGTCGAGCAAATTATATTCTTATATCCCCAGCAATTATAAATGAATTTAATCTAAAAATTCAATTTAATTTATAATCAAAAACAGGATAATTTGTTGCATATTTTCCAGAGGTTTTTTTTTTCTCTTCATAATCTATGCACGATATTGCAAGACTTTTATTTGTTCTGAGCTTTTTGGGCTCTTTTTCATGCCAAAAGATGGGATTTCTTCCGCAAAGAGGTTTTCTGTATCTTTGAATCGAAAAAAAAACACTGTTCAATTCAAAGGTGGGACTTCTTCCCAGTTTCTGTTGAGAAGGAGAACCAATTGATTTGTTGTTATTTACCAACTTTCCCAGAGAGGTGCAGATTTGGTCAGTGGGAAAACGGGTCGAAAGCTGTGGACATTTGCACCGCAGTTATTCCCGTTGGAAGAAACAACCAGCACTGAACCCGGGAATAATTCCGCTTCCTTTCACGGATTCATGACTGGCGACATCAATGGAGACCAGATTGCGGATGTCATCGTGACTCTGCTGTTTGATTGCACATTCCTTCAAAGTTTGTACCTCTCCTGATTGATTTTTTTTCCATTTCGCACACCTCAATTCCGGAACAACTTCTAAAGACTTTTTCGAGGCCGAGATTGGTTTATATTGATTTATTTTCGTCTCATAATAACGGTTGTACACTTGTGGAGAATTCTCAACTAATACTGGATCAGTTTGAGTTTTCTGTTGTCAATCAAGTCCTAGAAAAATATTTACAGTGAGACTCCGAGATGCGGATGTAATTGGTGCATCAAGAGTGTCCCTAAGTCGAGTTTCATTTTCCCTTAGACTTATATTATATTATTTTTAATTAGTATTTTCTGTACAAAATATTCGCCATAATTCCATGAAAATTAAAATTTTCTCCCAATTTAAACTGATTCCAATCAATATATTTCAACACAGTATGGACATTTGGGGAATTGAATACAGATACCTCTGTACAGTACATAAAAATGTTGGCATTCTCTGTAAAAATAATATTCAAGTGGAAAAAAGATAAGTCCCTCTCTGCTGGAGGTAATTTTTTAAAATTAGCTAAATGGATGGTAAATTGGTGAGAGAAATGCACAAGAACTTTTCTTACATCAATTTTAGGGTTGGGAATATCTGTTTTTTTTATTATTTGGCCTGAAAGGTATTTGCGATTTTGTAACAAAATGTCCCTATGTTGAGCCAGTTTCCTCATGTTGGGCCTTTTTTAATAATTTTTTTAAAGGAAAATAAGTGTCCCCGAGTTGAATTGTCTGCAGGTCAAGGTGTCTACATGTGGGGGTCTCACTGTATTGTGCTTTACATTACAGTAGAGTGAAAAATGTGATTGCAACAAATTTTCTGTCATGCAAAATTTGTCTCAAGTCTTGGCAGAAAGCCCATGGAGTACATTTTCGAACAATCTTCTTATAACAAACTTCCCAAATCAACTACAGTATAAAAAACTTTTTTGAGGAATTTCAAATAGATTCTCCAGATAGAAATTTCCTGACTAAGGCAGACAAAGTCTGAAATTTCCAATCCCAAATGTGACTGATGGATTCTTATTGTAGCATGAATGAATGCTGTAATCAATGAAAACCATGCTTCCAAGTGGTTCCACACATCATCCTCCCAGAATGAAGACATTGTTACAACCAATGGAATTTATGATTAAAGCTTTAAAAAATGTAGAAAATCACTTAGATTTTCAAACAGTAATACAAAATCTGATAATGCCAGAAAAACAAGATGTATGAGTGATTACTGTATAGGCACGTGACGTGAAAATGTTTACTGGTCATTGATTTTGAAAATCTCATTATAATGAAGAACTCGGTATAACAATCTTTTCCTGGAGTCCCCAAGATTTTGTTGTAATGAGCTTTCACTGGAATATATATTTTCTGGTCCGTCATGTTTGAGAGCAGGATTGCGCATTTGAGATGTTATTACAAAAAATTACTTGTGAATATATTCTTTTAGGTACGGATATTTCATTCATATGGGCGTTGAACGGAAAAAGTGGAGAATTGTTGCTACCAACTGATGGTCCAAAGAATGAAATCAGAGGCATTGAATTGGAGCCAATATGCCAGAAACCTGGAGTCATTATGTCTTCAGATGGCTCCAACCAACTCCTAATCATCACGCAAAATGGAGTCAAATTGTGTCCCTTGGCGTCTGCATATTTCATGCAGGACTGTGCTGTTGGATCTGATTTAAAGGTGAGCTTCATTTCTGATTAATTCTGATCTACTCAACAGTACTGTCAACCCTCAATTTAGGGCCCCAAAGGTGAGTGCCACAAATTTCCCTGGAACCGATCTTACCCCATTGTGTTCGCAAGGGAAGCCCCAATTTAGCGTCAACTTACTTAGTGCCACAAAACATTTCCTGTCCTGAATACAAAATGGGCAAAAATGAGATGAAGAAAGGCAATTTTCTAGTGATATGATTAGGTTAGTACTGAGAATCACATGTCTATGCTAAGGATAATTTTGATATCTGTATTTACATGTGAGTGGGTGGATTTATTTGGATTTCCTCTACAGGAAAGAGCATCTCAATAAATGGGATAGTCTATTTAAAAATTAAAAATCCCTCCACCTGATCTTGGAATTGTGTGCTTTTATTGAAAGGTCTATAAAAAGTACTGAAAGCAGGTGCACTCTTTTACTTGACCCAATAGAGTAGGTGTAAGCATCTTCAACTTACTTAGTACCACAAAACATTGCTGTCCTGAATGAAACATGGGCAAAAGTCAGATGAATAAATTCATTTTTCAAGGCATATGATTAGCTTATCACTGAGAATAACATACCCATGCTAAGGATAAGTTTTAAGATTTGATGTCTGCATTTACATGTGGATGGATGGTTTTATTTGGATTCCCTCATATACAGCAAAGAGCATGTCAATAAATGGGATAGTCTCATAAAAATAATTAAAAATCACTCCACCTGATCTTGGAATTGTGTTATTTTATTAGAAGGTAGATATAAAAATGCTGAAAACAGTTGCACTCTTTTACTTGTATGTACAAAAATCTAATATATCCTGTAATATTTCTTAAATTTAAATGAGGTAAAAAAACAGTTCATTTGAGCTTCAAATTATTTCCTATGATTTTCTGTCTTATAAAACAGATTCAATGGCCAAACAATTCTGCGAAGACTGCAAACAAGCCTATTTTACCTGTACAGGTGAACCTTCATAAGTCAAACCTCCCTAAGTCAAATTCCTCCCAAAGTCAAAATTGTTTTCTATTCCCTGTCTGGATTCCTGTAGAATCAATACATTAAAAACTTCCCTAACTTGAAGTCTTTTTCTCTAAAACCTCTGTAAGTCAAATTTTCTGAGGCCTTCTGGTTATTATTTCCTTGAAATGTGACAGAGAAAATAATTGAAACAAATAATTTTATGCATCTTGAAGGGAAGTGAAAGACAAATGTGGCAAATGAACCCCTGCCTCCAAGTCCAGCAAGGTGCAAACTCATCAAGGAGCAAGTTAAGGCCCATAATATCCTCTTTTATGATTTCCCATACTTTTTTCACTTCCCCTCACAACAAAAGTATTTGTTTCCTTAACTGGAAACCTCTAAAAATCAAAACCTCCCTAAGTCAAATGTTTTCCTGGTCCCTAGAAAATTGGCTTACAGAGGTTCAACTGTAGAAGAAGCCTTTGACAAAATTGTCCTCTGTTATTACAATACCCCTGAATTTAGTGTCACAGATGATGGCGCTAAAGTGAGATTTGACTGTATGTAAGTTTCAAGAAGAGAAGGTTTGTGAGGAATGCGATATTTATCCCCTTGGCATTTTTCAGAAAGCAAGAGGAGCCTCGGTTGCTGATTTTCCTGCAAAGGTCGCCTTGTCGCCCCGTTTCGTCGACCTGACGAATGACGGGATGGATGATGTCATTTTGTGCCTGCAAAACGCGACCATTGCTCTGAATCTGAACAGTGCTGAAGGAAAGAGCGTCATTTGGATCCACCGTGCGAACCCGAATGTTGACGATTGTGCTGATATTGCTGTTGGACAGTACGATTCTGATTCGGTGCCTGATGTGGCTGTTCGCTACGTCATCCATGGCCCGAATTCACTCGGATTTTCACAAGTATGTCGAGCCACTTCAGACGGAAGCGACTCGAACTTTAAACGAACTCATAATCGGTGGCTTCACATGATCTCTAATCATCTCATGAAGACGTCTTCCTAAAAATTTTTTTTTCTGTGGCGTCTCTCTCCCTCGAAACCCCGTCAATTCTTTTAGGTTGGGATCTCAGTATAACAGATTTTATCGCCCTAATTCTGTGCGTCGGCCATAGGGATTATTTGATAGATGACTGAAAATTTAAAGAAAAAATCGCAAAATTATCTATAGACCACATCTTATAAAAATATTGTTTTAATGAACTCATTTTAGGCTGTAATCTCAGTAAAAAAAAAATTTTGGCCGAGATTCTCTCCGTAAGTTGTAGAGATTATTTCATACATTACGTAAAATTAATACAGTGAGACCCCAAGATGCGTTTGTAATTGCTGCATTAGAGTGTCCCTAAGTTGAGTCTCATTTTCCCTTAGACTTACATTATATACTTTTCAATTGGTGTTTTATGGATAAAATACTCGCCATAATTCCAGGAAAATGAAAATTGCCTCCCAATTGAAACTGATTCAATCAATATATTTCAACAAAATATGGACAGTTGGGGAATTACATTCTGATACCTCTGTACAGTACATAGAATGATAGAAATGATGGCATTATCTGTAAAATCAACATTCAAGTGAAAAGAGAGAAGGAGGTCCCTCTAAGCTGGAGGTAATTTTTCTAACTTACCTGAATGGATGGTAAATTGGTGAGAGAAATGCGCAAGAACTTTTCTTATATCAATTTTAGGGTTGGAAATATCTGTTTCTTGGAATTTGGCCTGAATCTTATTTGCAATTTCATCCCAAAATGTCCCTATGTCAAGTCAGTGTCCTCATGTTGGGCCTTTTTTATTAATTTTTATTGGAAAATAAGTGTCCCTACGTCAATTTGTCTGCATGTGGGGGTCTCACTGTATTTCATACATTACATAAAATTAATATAATAATTGAACTGGTGCAGCATTCCAGCTTCATCACTGATAGATGGATAGATAAACAAGCTTCAGCAATGAAAATAAACCTTCTGTAGAAAAAATGCAGAGTTAAAAAATGCACACCATGATGACATTTTTTCTTTCATTATTTGGTACCATTTCAGAATGCATGCCTTTCTTCAAAATAAACTTCATGTTGGCAATAATTTTCCTCTATTTGAAAAAAAAACAAAGGTATGAATGAGTAAGATGATTTGGAAGGAAGTATTTCTCCCACATGTCCTTTTGTTTTATTTTATTATTGTTCAAGAGATCAAGACACACAGCACTTGAGTAAAATGGCAGGTTCAATAAAAAGAAAGTACTGAGCTATATTCAGTACGGGTATTCAAAAATCAAAAAAATGTTCCCCTTCATTTCAACAGAGACTTTGAAATTATGACAGGTCATGAATTATCAATTTGAATAGCACTTTACAGTATTTATTACCCGTTTTCTACAAATTTTCAGTGTAAAATGTGTCAACTATGAATACAACGGATTTTTAATGATTTTTATCGGGTCCATGGGATTTTGTTGTAGCGAGATTTTACTGTACTTGAATAAATCATGTTTTTCTCATACGTATTGTTAGGTCTTGGGTCCTTTTAAACGAAGTTAGTGCCGATAATTTGCTACAGTATTTTTTTTGCTGACCGTTTCGCGTTTTTGCGAATGTTTATCATTCGAAAATGCGATTGAAAACGTGTTTTTCCTCATGGCAGCTGGTTATCATAAATGGCAAGGATGGCACAGAAATGGAATCGAGAATAGTTGGACCTGAATTCCGACCTCGAAAATCTAATCGATGGCGTGGTTCTTCCGGAATCTTGACATTATCCCTTCAGTCCGTATTGTCGTCAAATGATGAGTTGGGCAGAGATGTCGACCTTTTCATGATGCCCATGTCGAACGATGGCACAAAAGATTCGCAGTTGAATAGTGAGTTCAGTCAGTTTTCTATTTAATTTCTTCTTGGGTTTCGAATTGGAGAAGATGACGTTTTGTTGTTCATCAAAGCTTTCAGAGAGACGAAGATCACAGATTTAACCTCATCGAAAATCGGATCCATGCGGGTTGCTGTTTTCAGTCGTGGAAATCAAAACATTCGTCCCATCTGGGTTTCAGGTATACTGCTTGTATGTCGGGTCTGATTCTGTTTATTCTACGTGGGGCAATGCGTAAATTATTTTTCAACTTGAGGAATATATTCTGCTTTTGGAGAATGGCGCTTTCGGGGACTCTCAAGGGGTTAAACACATTGCATTTCCTCAGATTTTTATACAGTGGGTCGATTCGACTTATTGAGGACACTCGGAAGTAGAAGTAAAAGCCTGCCCTGACATCCGGTCGATGTATTTTAGATACGGACACTTCAACATTTTGTAGAAGAATTTCAAAATTTTCAAATTCCAATTGAGCTCATTATATTCAGACTGTAAGAAGAAATTTGAATATAAAATTACTCCAATTCCCGATGAGGAGCAGGCTTGATTTTTTTTTTTTTTTCCAGAGTTTTTTCCCTCACGTGTGCAGAGTATAGCTGGACTTATTCTTTGCTTCTTGAGCTCTATATAGTACTGAAGTATTCTGTATTTTTCCTTGGAGAAAAAGATGATGCAATTTTTTGGGGACATCATTCCTAGTTTATTGATGAAGAGGAGAACAACCAATTAAATCTATTCTGTTCGAATTCTGTGGGAAAACATGATCCGACGTATGGATGAGGTTCCTGTGTATAATATCATGTCCTCATCTCGGGGCCCCACTGTACAGTAGTCGTCTTATTATTCTGTTTCTAACAAACGGTGTTTTCTATCTTTCGAAAATCTTGCCGATATTGAAAAGAATTTTTTTGCAGTCCCGCTAAATCCTCGTTTCTTCTTACGAATCAATCCCTCATCTCGAAGTGGAACGATTGACGCATTTTAGAAAATTCTTGTTCTCGGTTTTGTTTGTCTGGCAGAGAACGCAGATGCGGATATCGGTAATTGGTCGAGCCGGTCCCTCGCTCGAGAATACCTCGAGATGCACCCAGAAATTCAGCGCAAATACGTCGAAGGTTCGTCGCTTTTGAAGCCAAGCGAAGCTGACCCATCTGAAGCAGACGCTGAAAGCGATGATTCTCCAGCATACGAATCGCCTGCTGACGGATTGCTTGCGCCGAATCCAGATTACTTCGGGGTTCCGTCTTCCATGTCGTATCCAAGAAAGCATGGTGCTCGAGACAAGTGGGGATTCAGTAAGTATGCTTGTAGCATCTAAATTGTTACGATCAATAGTGTTTTGAAGTACTCGCATTTACTCAAGCACCACGCGCACCTTTTTTTTATGCAAAATCAAGGCAGGAAAGTAGGGTGCGCGTGGTATGTGTGTATACATTTTCTGGAGCAAAAATTAGGAAATTACTGGTGGGAGCCACAAGTGATAAATTTTTAGTTTTCAATGATGAACAAGGAATTTTGTTTGGCTCGATATCAGTTAAAATAATTTATTTTCTGGTATTAGGGTTATTTTGGTGACATTACTGTATAATTTTAAATAAACATTTCGATTTTCAACCATGTAAAACTGAGATGCGCGTAATACTCGAGGGTGCGTGCGGTACTCAAGTAAATCTAAATACCATTACGGTATTGTAAAATCTTGTTGGACCGAACTCCTATACGGGCTTGTGAAAAAAAAAACGTTAAGCAGTAAAGTTTTCTTACGTTTGGCGACTTCAGAAAAAGAAATAGTAATTGCTTTCAAGTGCTTCCACAACAGATACAGTATTGTTTGTCGTGTCCAATATTCTGTATGAGCGAATGAAAAAAAATGAAAATGTGAAATACAGTACTTTATAATTGCTCTATCTTATTGTAGAACTTACCTTCATTAAATTTTGTAAAACTGTGCTGATCTTACATAAATATGCAATGAAACAAAAAAAATTACATGTATAAGAAGAGCATTTATTCATTATGAATTGTATGTCCCCTGGAATAGAGCAGTATACTCTTTTAAACTCTGTTTATTTGAAAGCAGTAGCCATTTTTAGATAATCAAATAACCCCATCAGATACGGTACATTTTGATGAGAGCATCATGTTTCACACATCTTACAGTTATGCTACGTTTTCTGTACATAAATTAGCATTTCTTTTTTCACGACTTTTAATCATGCACAAATTGGATTACTGTACCATTGTTTGTGTGGAAAAACTGCTGGGACCGAGAAAAAAATCGCTGTGACGAGATTCGTTGTAAAGGAATTTAACTGTAGTAACGTCTGGCGAAGGGTGTATGCCAAATATTCCACCTTGCGGGCGTTGTTTTGCCATACAGAGTTCTTCCTGCTGCAGTTCGTCGAAAGCTTTTAAACGCACACCATAGTCTCTTAAAGTGCAGTGATACACTGAAATTTTAATTTTTGAGAGGCGGGGCGCGAGCTTGAGATTTATGTGAATGCGTCGTGAATCTTTTCAGATATTGCTGGCGGCGGATCATCGAAAACCTGGGATCGTAAAAAGGGACCTGATGTGCAACGTTTGGTGCTGCGGAAGCCCGTGTACGATGACGTGAGTGCTTCTCGGGTTCCGGGTCACTCGAAGCGCAACAAAGCGCGGAGGAATAAGGACGTGTCGCATTACCCGGGATACTTGGATCGACGAAAACGATCCCCTTCCGATGACGTGGTTCATATCCCCGTTGTAAGCCTGGGTGAGTATATTGCGGTTAAATATTTGAACATCTGTTTGAAAACGTTCGAATCTCTTGTCAATGCGTTCCGTTACTTTTGTCAGATTTGAAGATTTCTTTTCATTCGTTAACTTATGCTTGAAAAAAGTTTCAGTATCTGTGTAAAGCAAATCATTCGTGGTTTCATTGTGCTGACGATGTACGAATCCCCTTTTTTGTGTATACAGTATAGCGTCAAGGTTTTCAAAAAAAATCGCGAGAAGAAAAAGTGTTTTCAATTGTTTCTTCGACTACTTCAGATTTTTTCTGCTCTGCCCTTATTTTCTCATGTATTTAAATCTCGCCTGATGGTTTGAGACGGCATATACGTATTTGAAAACGTTTTTCCGAAATACGGAGAGAACCTTATTCGAACTGCTTTGTCGGAAAAAATGTGATACGGTTGGCTTGAAATGAATCGTGGATTCATACACGGTACTTTACTTTTAAAAATACATATGCGCAATATAATTTAATTACAACGAAGTCTTTTTTGAGTACCTGCCCCGTAGCTGTGTTAAATGAGTTGCGTATTAGCGACATTTTTTCTAAACAAAGCCATTTTCCCGGCCCGAATGACGTCGTTTTAACGACATTTTACTTGTTTTGGGTTTTATATTCCTTCTGTGTAGTGGTTATGAAGGTACTGTATGTCCATTCGAGGAACATGCGCATGATTTTAAGTACCGTATTCACGATCCGTTCTTTGAGTTGCAAGGATCTTCACTTCGCATATTTTGGTCTCTGCAGCAAACACGCAATGGCAAATTTTCTCGAATGCGATTTTTTTGGGAGCATATCCAGTAGTCGTTGTGGTTGAGGATAAGAATGAGTTCTATAATCACGAAGTTAGGTTGATGATTCAATTTTGAATTGTGGTCGTTTGGGCAGTAGTATACAGTAATTGCTGAATATACTTGAACAACGCTGAATATATCATTTTTATTTGTTGTTCCTTTGTTATAGCTGGAGTACTCGATAAATTATTTTCTGCATTGCTGTGTGCATGTCTCAAATTTGGATGTCCAAGACTTTGCTGGCTACCTCGGTGAAACGTGTCGAGTTTAGATCAGATTTAAAAATACCTTCTTATTGTGAAACGTTATTTTTATTGATGCGTCGTTTTGAGATTAAAAAGGTCCTCATTGCATTTGTTCACAGGCTTGATTTCGAGTGACAACGGGGAAAAGAATGCGGTGGACCTGATTGCTAGCTTCACTTGGATTCCTGTCGCGAAATACATGTTGACAGCGGGAAAGTGCTTGTCGCAACTTTTGAAGGATGAAGCTGCCGGTGAGACTGTCGTCGTCGTCGTCGTTCTTTAAATGCTGCCTCAAAATTAAATTTGAAGTACAGTTGAACCTTTGGTACCTCGAACCTGCGCATGTTGGAATTTGTTTCCAAGTCCCTGTTGGAATTCTTTTAGAAGCAATTCATTAAAAATATCTTGAACTCGGAAGGATTTTCCTCTTCAACCCTCCGTAACTCGAATTTTCTATAGCCCTTTTGGTCATTATTTTATCAACACGGGAAAGAGTCACGCAATAAAAATTTAATAACTGGATGCGTTTTGAAAGGAAGTGAAAGATTAATCGGGCAAGGGAACCCTTGCCTTCAATTTCAGCACCCTCTCAACTCATTTGAATAGCAATTTAAGGCCCGTAATATCACCAATTGCAATTTCCTGAAATTTTTCGTCATTTCCCCCCAAAAATAAGAAATTATTGTTCCCTTAGCTCGAATTTGTTTGTTGGTCTGTTGAAGTTGGACTTGAACAGTGTACAGTATTTAATGCGTTTGTTTAATTTTTACATCAGGGTTCCCTGATTTGAACATTTGCAAGCAAGAAGGAAATGAAACAATTCCAGCCTCTGCGTTTTCCATGGATCTCCCGCTGACACTTGTGAGAAAATTGCGGGTGGAATGCGCGTGCAAACCTATTTCGACGACACAAGCTGCATTGAATTACATTTTGCGGACTGAAGCAGATGCGTGTCCGAAATTTGTCAAACGTCAGAGATGGAGTGGTGTTTTCGGCTCCTCTAACGACGGCCATTTTGAAGCACTGATGGTTCCGACGACAAATGGCTAAAGAAACGCTGATCCTCTCATCGTGGTTGTTTTTCCCCGTGTGTTCATTTCCATCACGAAGCTGTCGCTAAAACATTTAAGACGGTAATGTGAGAACGAAGGTCGGGATCTCGTCTGCGTGGAAATGTGAACTCTGCTTAAATTCCGTGGCTTGCGTATTATTCAAAATGTATTTAGCATCTTCGGGGAGCCTTTCGCGTGGAGTACCGGATTCTACATGGGTGCGTTGTGTACGGGTGCTTCGAAGTCTCTCGGAAATTGTGTTCTGTTCACTTTTTTTGGAATAGTGAAATCCGTGTCACCGAGTGAATGGTGAAGCGTTTTTTTTTTTTTTTTTTAAACTATCAGTGGACGATAAATGCATTTGAATTGCAATTCGTGACTAACCCGTGTGAAGTTAAGATAGGGTCGTGTGGCTTTTGTGAAACGAATTCACGCGCGTTGTGTTCGATTACGATGGAACTTTAGAAGTAATTTGCCAGCATTTATGATTCATATTTGAGTACAGTAATTATTTGATATAATCACGTGCTAGATTCAATGCAGTTCTTAGTTCCCTTAATCCTAGAATCGATGTACAGTACTGTACTGTATTTCGCAAATGCCAACTCCTTTCTTCAAGTTTCATTTTCTCGATTTTGGTACCATTTCCATAACATTTTTTTGGGTATCATCGAAAAAACGTTAAGTATATATTGATGCTCTGTTTTTTTGTGGGACTTTCCAAGAAGTTCATCCGTGAAGAGTTGCGCATTCATGAAATGGGTGAAGCACTGTATATAGTGGCCGAATATTTTAGCAAGTGATGATAAATGAGGGCTACTTTTTTTTTAATCTAGGAGGCTGGGTATTATTCAAGAAACTAAATGATTCAATTATGTAGACCAGCTTGAATATATGTAAAAATCAAGACGCTCGTAACGCTAATTGTTACCATGGGTGAGGTTTGTTATTGTGATAAACACTGAATAAAGAGGATGGACTTTGATGGTAAATGCCGGCACGGTGGAATAATTGGTTCCAGTGCAGACAAAGTTTGAGGAATGGTGGTGAAAATAGTTGGTGCAGTACAGTAATTCTCTTGGGTTGAACACAGCTCACCTGGATTTCGATGTTCGGTAATCGGCAAACTGGAAGCGTTCAGTTTTTGTTTCCGCGTTGCTGCTTTAGTCTGCAGAAGTTTTTTTTTGTTGGTAAAATGGCGAATAGTTTAAATTGCTGCCTGGAAAAGCCCTTGACCTGACCTAAAAGTCGCGTCGCTTATTGTTACGCTTCCGGCCGTGTCACAATATTTTTTGTATACGTCGTGGAGTTGGATCCGTTGCAACAATTCAGCTGATGCTTGTCGCGTGAAAGAATACTTTATTGCGGAATAAAATCTTCCTGAAATTGCTTCTTTTTTTATTCGCTTTTCTTTTGGAAGGTGATTCTGTTATAGAACCTTTGGCGCTGTGATACTGGTTTCTATGGTTCTTAGACTTCATCTGTTACTTTTGCTGGTGCCTGCTGGTAATGATCAGTTCGTATGGAAATTATGAAAAAATCCAAGAAGTTGAAGCGTTTAAAAGGCATTTTTGGATCATGGTGGTGTAGTTCCTCGCCGGACGTGAGCGTCGCGCGCTCTAAGTCGGCGTGCAGCGAACAGCAGATGCTTGCACACTGCACGCCCCATGTGAGGATATATTTTGTAGGTGTCGCTCTTCGAAAGGAATCGTTTTCTAATAATGTTTCAAAATATTCAAGATTTCTAGTGCAATGCATTCAGTAGGTAATGACTGCTGAAGAGCAGGTTATTTTTAACTAATATGACCTAACCTAACAAACTTGACCTTTCGCCGCGGAAGTAAATGTTAGCAGAATTTCAAAAATAACCAGACTATTGTACAAGTACTGCAGCAACGACATCTAGTATTTCTAATTTACCCGTTAGCGCAAATTCTTACCAGCGCGCGACGCTCACCAGTTTCCCAGCATTGTCGGACGTTCGAGGCACTGTGAAACTAACGCAATCGGAAGATGTACGCTTTTTTGTCTTATTGGTCGTTTCGATTCGCGGTATTGCAACGAGTGAAATCGCTTCGTTGTTGATGAAACTCCTCTCCTACCGTTCGTTTGGTCATGTTTGTGCCCCCAGCAGTGGCTGTGTGTCGAACACTGCTTTTTCGCCATGCCGTCGACGTTGGTGAATTTAAATTTGTTTGGTCTTGCAGACTTTTTCGCGAGTGCTGTGATGGAACTCTTCTAACCAATCATGGATGAGTTCAAGAAGCCACTTCCCATTGCTCCTATAACTGCGGATGCGGAGACAACGGTTGAGATCACTGATCAGGAGGAGCAACTGAAGACTGAAAATGAGGAAGTTCAAAATAATTCGGCTGTACTGGTTTGTGAACCAGGGAAAACTGAGATCGCGAAGACGCCCGCGGTTACCTGCGGATTTATCTCGCCTTCATGGTCCGGGGTGCCGACCGAGCCTCTGAATCTGGAAGTTGTTAAAAGTGGAGTGATATTGAGTGTGATCCCGTTGGAAAAGTCTACGATCGTGTTCGGAAGACTACCCGAAAATGACGTTGTCATCGAACACCCGACTTCATCTCGTTTTCATGCGGTTCTTCAATTTTCAAGTGGCACGCCCGAGAAACCCTCCGGGTTCTACATCTATGACTTGGACAGTACTCATGGGACGTTTCTAAACAAGGAACGTGTTAAGCCTCGGCAATATATTCCTGTGCTGCCTGGACATATGCTGAAGTTCGGATTAAGCACGAGAATTTATGTTGTGCAGGTCTGGAGTGTGTGGATTTATATTTAGTGTCAATCATAGTGAGATATCCCTGATGGTTTCAAGACTGCGTCTAGCTGATCTATGAATTGCATTTACATTTGTTCAATCCAATTGAGAAAGAAAGCCTTGGAATATAAATTAATTATACTGAAACTCTAACGCATGCGGTTAAATTTATTGATATTATAATGTCGAAGTATTGTATTTCTATATGTCAATTAAGTATTTCGATGTGTTAACGAAAACGGAGCTCTTCTCTGATGAACTTCCCGGCTTGATATTTACAGATATTAAAATTCTATACATCTTTTTTGCCGAACCAGATATTACAACATGACGGAAAGTTTATGAAGATTGGATATGCATGAAGTGGAACATTTTTATTTTAACATTCCGTCTTTTTCAGTCTCTGTAGAGAATTCGATCTTTAACTGTGACATTACCATTTTTTAGGGACCTCCTTGTGAATCGGAAGAAGAAACCGCACCACATTTGAGCTACTCTGAAATCAAAAGGATGAAGGAAGAGTTCAAGCGGGCAAGAGAGAAGAAACCAATTGTAAATGAAGAAACGTCTGTGCCAGAAACACCGGAGCAGTCGGTGGAGGAAGGAATATCTTGGGGCATTCGTAAGTTTTCACCGGATTTTCAGATGAGCACGATTACTGGATGAACGGCTTTAAAGTGAATCCCTGCCATATTGGAAGAAATTATTGCAGAATAATTTTTATTGTTTCGATTCAATAGAGGATGAAGTGGAGGAGGAAGAATCGGATGTGAATCCATTCGCGATTGAATCCGGAAATGAGGAGTACATCGCAGATCCGAAAAAGACTCTCCGCGGTTGGTTTGAACGTGAAGGGCAAGATTTGCAGTACGAAGTGGAAGAAAAAGGTTACAGCAACTTCATATGTCGTGTGAGGTATGTCTTTGATATCGTTATGTCGCATGAAAAGCTTTGAAAGCTAACAGTTCAATCTATTTAGACTCCCGTTGGAAGACGTCGCAGGCAGCTCGGTTACAGCAGAAGCGGAAGTAACGGGCAAGAAAAAAGAAGCTGTTATTCAGTGTGCTCTAGAAGCATGCCGAATTCTCGATAGATTCGGTGTCCTGCGTCAAGCCAACCAAGGTAAATGAAATGATTAAAATTTTGTTTTGCTTTCTCGAGCAGGAATGTAAAGTCTTGTGAGATCTTGACAAGCCTCAAGTGTGAAAACAGTGCGATGAATGATGATGGTGCATACAAGCTTGATCAATTCGTTAGATGTGAAAAGTAGCCCGAAGTGGATTTCAAGGCATATTAGTTTCGTCTTGAGATTCATTTCTCGCAGTCCTGTGAAACATTTGTCGAGCATTTTGTATCTAAAGTCACCTCTCCGAATGTTAATTATTCTCACCAGAAAGTAAAGCCACGAAGAAGCGTAAAAATTGGGAAGATGACGATTTTTACGGCTCTGATGAGGACGAATTCCTTGATCGTACTGGAAGTATCGAGAAGAAACGTCAACAACGCATGAGAGCAGCTGGAAAACTGGTTCAAGAAGCTCCAACAGAGAACTACGACTCGTTGGTACGTTATTCTGATTCAAGTGGGTACTTGTCGACTGGCGGATTACAGTTTTGAGTGTTCTTGCAGATGGCAAAGCACAGTGTCGTAATGAAAGAAATGGAAGCTTTGCATAAGGAATTGGAGTCTGGAAAAGGTGAGCTATTCGATGTATCGGCAAAACATATTGAACCACGAAAGAGCAAGAGTGCAAGCGAGTGGAAGACCGATCAGTACTCGAATTATTGACACAAATTTCCCTTCGTGCCACAGAATTATCCGTGTTCCGGATGAAAAATGGGTCGAAATTGAATGCATTTAGGCCTTTTTCTGGGGATTCCATTCTGTTTTTACTGAGAATTACGTTCTCGTGCTCGAATAAAAACTTGATTTAATTTTTAACATTCTATTACCGAATTTAATTTGTTGCAAATATTGATGTTATTATTGCACATGCCTCCTTCCTTTATTGAAAATTTTTAGAATAAAGTAGAAGCTTTCCCAGGAATTTTGGTGATTCCTGCATGATTGGACCTGATATGAAACTGGAATTCAAGCAAAACTTCAAGAAAAAGTCCTTCTGTCTTACTAGACTCAAATGTATTAAAATCGAATTCATTCTGTCACTAAATACATTGAACTACTGTACATTATGACAACATTGCATTTGAGCTGCAAATTACTTCTCATGGCCTTCTCTCTCAGAAAGTAGATTCAATGATTTACAGTAGTATCCTTCAACTGAACTCTTCATTCATACGAAACCCTTGGTTTGGTGCCGCAAAATGTGCCAGGGCAAATTATGTTACTAAATTAAGGTTTGAACTGATAGTTTTACCTTGACTTAAACTTTTTTTTTCATACTTCAGCTTCTCTGGTGTACACCCATTTTCTCTACCCATTCACCTTGATATCGTTGTGTCTTCACAGATTCGCGGAAAAAGGCGTGTCCCGCTGATGCGATGGCCCCTGATGAGGACCTTGACAATTATATGGAACGTCTCGCGAGCGCATCTGCCAGCAACGTGGAAAAATTCGAACGCAAAAAAATGCAGGTGAGATCTATTCCTCAACTTGAATTTGTACTCGTGCTGAATTTTTGATTGATGGTCAAATTTAAGATTCTGTAGCTTTCTCGTTCGACATCCGGAATTTTTTATTTTATTCGAATATCGACTGAGTTGGTCATGTTCTGATGGGTCGGAATTCGTCTTAGGTTTTCTAAATGTAAATTTATTTCTTCTCGTTTCAAACAGGCAAAAATGGCGGAATTGCAAGCGAATGAACGCCGTCTACGGAAACTCATCAGCATCGCAAAACCTGCCTCTTTACCGCCCTTGAAAATCGCGTCATTGGATCGGCCTGGTGTTGTGATCGGATCGATTCGTGGTCGCGGTGCAAAAAAGAAATCAGTTGTTGCCCCTTATATTCCGAAGCAAACAACGCCTGTTTTTGTACCCACTGACGCTGTGGAGGAATCCGACGATGAGGACACTCCCATGGCTTCTGTGAAGTCAGACGAGGTTGTTGCTCCGGAAAAACGACGAAAAGTTATCCAGGAAATACCGGCGAAAGAGCTTGTGGGTGTGACGAGTTCGGAAGAGCATCCGAAAAAGGTTTCCGAAGTGAAAGATGTCGTGAAAGACGAGGAGTCGGAGCAGAAAACTAAGCGAGCGGAAGTGGTGAAACCTTCTGCTGATGAAGAACGAGATTCACATGAAACTATTGGAGGAACGGTGCAGAATGATGTTCCGAAACCGTCTCAGTCGAAGAAAAATTCGCAAAAGGCTGAAAAGGTGAGTTTTGATCACGTATAAATTACTCTTGATCAATGAATTCATTATTTTTTGTCAATCGAAGATATTCTACAATTTTCTATCCATGGCCAACTTTTTTTTTTTTACCTTCACGCTTATGAGGTTGGCGAAAATTTGACAAAAATAAAGTACGTATTCAAAATGTTCAGGATTTCAAACCTCGATAAGCCGCCGCTATTTTTTGTGAAGTTCGTGGTGGTTTAAAAGGGGTTTATGGATCATAAGAAAAGGTAAAATTATTTGAAAATCAAGTACTGTACAGTATCTGTATAATAGGAAATTTTATTATCATCTTGATAGAAAACAATCAAATTAACCCTGGGATGCGTAAGTTATTTCTAGCTGATGTTCCAAAAAAATAAATTATTTCATATTTGTGTTTTTGAAATTAGAGAGACCTCTCACAGGAACTTAAATGTTATTGGCGGGCTATCGGAGACAAAATTAATTGGCAGGATCATATTTGAGTTGTCTATTTTGGGGGATGGCGTTTCAACGTGGATTTCAATGCTTTTTTTTTATCATAGAAGATTTGTTTTTTTTTTAAATAAATTGGCGGTTGCTGAGGATGACGGCTTTTTTCGGGGTTTGACTGTACAACTGTTTTCTGATGTTGTATCTGGAATTTTCCTGCTCCGAATGTTGATTGTACCAAGCTTTTGAATCATTCATTTATGAATCAGACTACTCAGTCATTCATGAAGCTAGCGAATTCCCACATGCCATTGCAAAAAATAAAATTCAGTGAAAAATGTATTTTGAACCTTTTTTTTTCCGAGTACAAATTCTAATACTGTGCAGTACAAATTCAGTTCACGTATTCTTATTCTTTTTATTTTTATAATGTGCTCGACTTTAAATTTTTCAGAAGCACAAACGTAAAGCGGATGTGGAGAAATGCGAATACGATTCAAGCAGAGACGATTATGACATGTGGGTTCCGCCGATGGGACAAAGTGGAGACGGGACAACTTCTCTCAACAAGAAATTGGGCTACTGAAGTCGCTGTCAATTTCCTTTTTTATGTGTTGAAAAAGAAAACGTTTTCGAAATTTGTTGCACTGACTTTGTTACTTCTTTGTCATGTTTTATTCCAGTGCGATGTTCATGTCATTTTTCCCGAAGTAAATATTTCAAAAGACTTCAAATAATTTTCGCGTTCATGTCTAAAATACTGTAGGAAGCTTTTCTTTTCTCCATTTCAAAGATGTCACCCGATCTTTCAAAACTTATTTAGCCGATTCCAAGTGAAATGTATTCGGATGAATCTTTTTATATTTATGGAAACAGAAAAACATTTGCGTGGTAATTTAGAAAGTTAGATCTGGTTGGAACGTAAAAAGAACGTACCTTTGCCTGTCATTGAACATCGTCAGTTGGGATTGATCCTGTCCTGTCTAGTATTTCCTAAAAGGTGAAGGAAAATGTTCTGATTTTGTTAGATGTCTTCACCGAGTTGAGACGAAAGAGATGTCTTCCAACACCGCGAAAAACAAAGTGCATAACTTCAAAGTGGTGTTGCTGGGTGAAGGCTGTGTCGGTAAAACTTCGGTCATCATTCGCTATGTGGAGGAAAGGTTCGACGAGAAACACGTGTCGACGCTGCAAGTGAGTTATTTTTATTGACGAATCGTTCTTTGATTGAAAGCTGGTCTACTTTTTGCATTCATCTTTTTATGTTGAAACACGATGCCGCTGATTTTTGTTCTTGGAAAAATCATTTACTCGCGTGGACGTTTTGAACTGATTTTCTCCAGTGATAACAATGATATTTTATGAATTTCATCAATTGCAGTAAAATCTCCTTACAATAAACTCCCAGGGATCTGATGAAAAATTCATTATAACGAAAAATCCTTTTTTTTTTTTTAGAATTAATGGTTTTCAACGCATTTTATTCTGACATTTTGTGAAAATATGGGTAATGAATATTGTAGGTAGGTTTATGTCTAATTCAAGACCTTTCATGATTTCTAAGTCTTTGTTGAAATGGAGAGGAACATTTTTTGAATTTTTAGTTCAGCAATTTCTTCTCACTGAACCTTTGTTTCTACAAAAGTGCTGTTTTTCTTGAACCATAAAATGGCACAAAAATATGCCTGAGAGCAATACTACCTTCCAAATCAAATTATTCATTCATACCTGTTTGTCCTTTTAAAAAGAGGAAAATTCAAATGTACAGTTTATTTTGAAGAAATGGAGCTAAAGAAGTCCCAAAAAGTAAGTCGTGTTGCATAATTTTTTTTGAAAATAAATTCTTTCCAGAAAAATTATGCGTTTTTTTATGAAGTTTGAATGCTGCGAAAGTTCTTTTTTCAATTTATCTGTCATTTATCAAGGAATCCCTTTGAGCTATTTACAGAATTGTGGGCAAAAGTCTGTTATGCTTGAATTGCAGCCTAGAATAAGTTTGTTGGAACGAATCTTTTTCGGATATCACGCCTGTGGAGAGAATGCTGGGACCTAGAGAAGTATTCGTTTTAGCGAGGTATGCTGCAACGGGTTTTTCTTCTATTGTGTTCCAAAACATGCAGAATTTTTGGCTCGTTCTAGATTTTCTCTGTGTTGCCCAGCTTGTAAGGCGAAATCCTCTTCAAAACATCGCCGATTGACATTTTCAGGAAACGTCTCCTCATTCAGAATCACAAAATTCAGTGTGATAATTCGTCGAGGCGTGATGATTTGTCAAAATTAAAAGAAGAATTGAATACTTCAGTGACATCGTTGGCACTTTGATGAGACAAATGGTGCGAGAATCGCATAACTCGTGATCCAGATGGAAGAAATAATCGGCGAATGATATTCATCGTACTGAGAGCGAGAGACAGATGCTGATTCTTTTTTCTTCTTTGTTTCTCCTCTTCAGGCCGCGTTCAAGTCGAAAAGGTTGAACCTGAACGGAACACGCGTGAACCTGAGTCTTTGGGACACAGCTGGACAAGAGAGATTCCACGCCTTGGGCCCCATCTACTACAGAGATGCAGACGGAGCCGTTTTGTTGTATGACGTGACGGACGAGGACTCGTTCACGAGAGTCAAGAACTGGGTCAAGGAGCTCCGGACGATGTTGGGTCACGACATTTGCATGTGCATTGTCGGCAACAAGGTGGACCTGGAGAGGAGTCGAGTCGTCGCTGCTGAAGACGCTGAGCAGTGAGACGAATTATTCGGATCTGTTGCTTGCTTTTTGTCTAGGCGGATTATTTCACTAATCTTTTTTTTTTTTTGTCGAATATTATGCGCACCTTTCTTCCTTAAAAATTGAGACGGAAAAATGGGGCTGTATTTCATGGGCGGGTATCAATCAAAAAGAAAAAAATTTGCGAGTGTAGGTGTGAATTATACTTTACTTGAATTTTATGGGAAATGTTGCACGAAATTCAAGAGAAAAACTTATTGTAATGGAACTATTGTAATTACAGTACAAATGAGTTCAATTTGGGATCACTTCATGTCCGAATTCCAATTTTGGCGGTTTTTTCATTTCTGAAATATTGCAGTTTTAGGTTCTCTAGAAATGGGGTGCGCGTCTTACTTGATGGCAGGTGGTACACAAGTAAATAAGGTACACAGGAGTTATTTATTGCAGTCTAAGATGGGCAACATCCCAGAGTTTTCCCAGTTGGACCCAAGCTCTGATATTTTTGGATTAGAAGTGAGTGAAAAAAAAGAAAAAAAATATGTATACAGTGTATATATATATATACTGTATTTACTCAAGTACCATGCACACCTTTTTTCAGAATTTAAGGAGGAAAAAAGGGTGCGTGTGGTACCCAGGGATACAATTTTGGAGGAAAACTTTTTGAAAATCCTGCGGGTGGTATGCGGGTTCATTAAAGAAAAATTTCAAGAGGAAATGCATGGTGCCAAGTCTCATTCATGGGAAATAATAGTTGAAGGGATAGTTGAAATAATATTTTAGGAATTAGAGATAAAACAGGAAGTAAAGGAGGCAGAAGATATATTCCTATGATAGAGGGAGCTGCAGACAGTAAAAAGCAGGGGAAAAATTTCAATAAGGGGAAATGGATCCACACAAAAAGTGTACAATTCTTAAAGCTCAGGGACAACAAAAAAACTGGGGTGCGTGTCTTACTTGGGGTTAGGTTTTCAGATAGTTTTCTTGAAGAAAAATGGGGCTGTGTGGCTTACCCAGGGGTACTATGTTACATAGCCCATGACGTTATTGATGGTTCTGGGATTAAAAAAAAAACATTTTTCTTTTAAGTCAATGCATGATGATAAGTGAAAACTTCCCTGTTACAGTCAGAGTTCTCCGAACCATGTCACAGGGGGCTGAAAATTTGTCTGGATACATATTTTTTTTTTACTTTTTTTGCTGCTCTAACCATTATCTAAAATGTAGAAAAAGTAGTGGTGTTGTCGTAATATTATGACTGTCATGGTAAACTCAGTTGAATAAGATCACTACTCTTTCTCTAATTGATAGCATTCAGCTTCAAGTTATGTACTAGCTCAAAATACCTTCCTCTTATGTACTTCCTGTTTGTTGCAAGAAATTATGATGACTCCAATTTAAGTTAGGGGAAACATACATTCCCGTGACCTCATTCAAAGGAAAGTGTTGATGAATACAGGTGTTCTATGTGTGTAATGCAACTTCTCTTCAATGCTTTGCTGTGAAACCTTTTCAGGTGGACTCTGTCTGCAATGATCTTGTCCACAACAATTTCCTCTGTATAATGAGTTTTTCTTTGGTCTCAGGGTTATCTCCCCATGTTACAGGGGTTCTGTACTACAAAATTATCTCTGCATCAATTTTTTTTCTGGTCCTTTGAATTTTGTTGTAGAGAAAGAGGGTCCATCTGTATGTAATCAAGGCAGTAAAAGGAATAACTTTTTGAAGTCTATCTCTAAATGTCCCCATAAAGTCATGGAAAACAGTCAAAATCTTCTAGTTTTTGCAGTTGCTTCATTGTGTGAAAATATTTCAAAATGATGACCCCAGTGGAAGAGCTGATAATTGGTTTAATTAGTCAGGTTTAATTTTGAAAGTTAGGACAATTGGTTAAACAAGAAAAATATAATTTTCAGGTGGCTAGGCAAATTTCAAGCCCTACGTGACATGGGCGGAGAACTCCGGCAGTAACTGGAAAGTTTTCATTTATCATCATGCAGTAAATTGAAAAACTTGTTTTAATTAAAGAAAAAATCCCAGAACCTTGCAACACAATGGGATATGTCTTCTTTTTTTTTAAACAACACTTACTCTAAAATATCAGAATTTGCGTGGAACTGGGACAACCCTTGTATTCTTGGATAGGAATACAAAGTGTATGTATATATATTTTTTTCATTTGCAGGTACGCCAAGTCTGTCGGTGCAAAGCACTATTTGACCAGTGCAAAGCTGAACAAGGGGATCCAAGAGCTTTTCTCTGACCTCACGCAGTGGATGGTGGAGAAAGCGAAAGAGAAAGAAGGTGTCAAGAGCACTTCTGCTTTTTCTGCCAACACAGTGCAGGTGTTGGAGAGTGAAGAAGAGCCTGCAGTTGGCACAACTTTTCCGTGTTGTGGTTGACTCTCTGGCGAGACGACGAACATGGTTTTACACATTTTAGCGTACAGTGATGGGTTGTGTTGGCTCGTTGAAATCGGGGCTCTTCAGCATATTCACGAATGGGCACGAAGTGTGGTGCGGGACAATCCCATCGTTGTATTGCAGGGAGAATCAAAAACATCGTGTCAGTTTAAGAGGTAAATCCCAAGTAATTTAAAAAAGGGAGAAATTTTTTTCTAAATGAGCTGTTTATGCATTAATGGGAAGCGCTGTCAGAACTGGAAGAATAATTTTTGTGTAGGTACGATAGCCATACATCAGAATTTCTAAAAAATAATAAAATCAGACATACCATATTTACTTGAGTACAACCTACCTTGAAATAATATGCTCATGAAGAGTTTTCAGTCAAAAATTTTTATCTCCAAGTAAGACATGCTCCTTGTTTTTAGTGACTCTAAAAAAAACAAAGATTCATTTCAAATATAAGAACACCCAAACTTGAATTTAGTCATGATTTGAACCTGACTTCAACTATAATTTCCATTAAAATTAATTTTTCTGTTGAACTTTGTCCCAAAATTCTTATTAAAAGCAAGTATAATGCACACCTGAACTGAACCTTTTTGAAATATTTCCACCTATCTTATGTCATGCACCCCCCTTATCTCCTCTTGGTTTGAGATAAAGCGTGCATGGTAATTTTATTCAAGGAAGTAATTTTATCCTGTTGAGCCTCATTTTAAATTTCTTTTGTGGCAAAAACGCGCTGCAGAATGATTCTAAGATTTCTAAGGATCTTACTCCAGGTCAAAGACACCATCGCTTGCTAATTACTCTGCCTGTCCCTGACGAAACTGTTGATTATATTATGTATTTTATTCCTTCACTCCATCTTAGTTTATTTTCCAAAATTGTAATAGCGATGGAGCTCTTGAGAACTACACGAATTTGAGGAACCCATTGCGATCCAACTGCTTGAAGGTATTTTTCAAGCAGTTGGAAAAGCAGAAGAGGAGTCCACAGTGTCTAAACGCAGTAATGTAGTAGCTGTCACTCATCAACAAGTGAAATGAGGTTATCTTCTCTGACATTATGCTGTTAACCAAGTGCCATAGTACCACCAGTTGTGAGCATACTGAAGAACCGTGATTTTTATTAAAATGCCTCTGGATGGGCATTCTTGCAAAGAAGAAACAAACAAAAAAAAACACGCGAGGAGCTGTATGATAATCAAGGAAAATTGAAACTGAATTTTATGTTTCTGTTTAATTTTTGTAACGTGTTCAGCATTGACCTTTCGAAAGCGTGTATCGTGTCCCAAAAGAAATGTTGGTGGGCTATTTCTAAGAATATTTTATGTGAACCCAGAGGTGCTTCGGAGTACGATGATCTCAGTATTTTAACTCATCTTTCGCAAAGTTCCTCGCGAGGTTGAATGTCTTGTCCTTGATTTGGCTATGGGTTTTTGTTGTTGTTGTGGTTATGGGACATTTTGATCATGAATGTGTTGTTTTCAGCCAGCTTTCTCCCAGATATTTTGAAAAGCAATTTGAACAGCTACCATATCCTTTGGACAGCCATTGAATGGCTTTCATTTTTGCATTTCAAATAATTTCACCAAGTGGAATCACTTGCGAATCCTGAAAGCTATTTTGAGAATACGGCAAGCAGGTATTGGACTGTGATGCTGAACATTGTGATCCTTTTTTCCTGCCTTTTGATAAATTGTGAGTGATCTTTTAATTTCATTTCGGTTTTCAAAATTGAGGGAATCCTTCAATTTTTCTCGCAGTTCTAATACTATCTGCATCTCCTTCTTTTATGACTGTACTCTCCACCTTGCAACTTTTTTTTCATTATACTGTATTGTATTCTTCGCGTGCGTGAATACCTTGTTGGAGAAATGAAATGTTTGAGGTGAGACTTCCGTCTTTTTTGGGAGTTATTGATCTTTTGATTTATCTCTTGTGTATCTTCCCTGGACTGATCAAAATTTTGCAGCGTGAAAAGGATTCTTTCTGTATGTCCAGCTGCTCAAGATTATGGTTGGACACACAAGCCTTACGACAAATCATTTACTTCACGGATTTAAGAAACCCTAATCATCCTGACACTATAAACAGTGAAGTAAAAAAAGGCCGAATGAACACAATCTCTTTTGATTCATACATTTCAGCCCAATTCGACACAGACATCAATTCAAGGAATAGAGCAATATGAAGCCACGATAAAGTACTAAAGCACAGAGCTTCGCGACATCATTTCCTTTCCTGTGCTCACCATACGCAATTTTGACAGAGATCATGCATTTCTGAAATTTCATCCCTCCACGACTAGTGATGAGATCATTAAAAATCTTTCCCAGCGATGGAAAATTCACCATGAAGCATGGAAGTTGTTGAATACAGACCCAAATCGAAGAGTCAAAAGCTATAAGAAATTCTTATGGTAATTCAACTTCCACTAGATTTCTTCTTCAGAAAATGTGATCAAATCAAGATGAACGAAATACTTTTTCACATCAAATAAATCAGGCTTACATTGCAAGACGAAGAAAAAATTGGGAATACTTCATCGAATTGCTTTCTTCTGAGCAACTATATTTTCCAAAAGAATGTACGTTCACAATAATAAAGAGACTGTCTCATTTATGCCCTAGTAACTTAATGTAAAGTACAGTACAGTACTGCATTAGAATGTGAGGAGAGGAAGTTGCATAAAAAATATAGGACCCACAGTGAAGTCCATGAAGATGAATGGTGTATGTGTAAAAAGCTAAAATCACGAACAATTAATTTGAAAATGTAATTCAATTTTGTAAGAACTAAGATTCCATCTAGAAGAAAGTTCACCCTCATTGGGAATTGCGACAAAGCTCATTCACACACATGATAACCTGGGCAGATGAAACATGAGATGATGACAAGTGTGTATTTTTTTTTTCAAGTGTACAGGTCAAATCTTGCTGAAATAAAAAGTTTTCAGAGACCCAAAAAAAATTTAATAGATTTAAAAATGTGTTGCATCAAGATTCGCACGCAAAATTGTGACAATTTTTTTTTTTCTGAAGTAAGGGATGGATTCCTCCAACTCTGGGCTGCTTTTTCCACGTCAGGATTACCTTTTCAACGGCAACTGTATTTTCTATGGTAACAGAGCTGGAGCAACGACATCTAGCGTTATTTCGCTGCTACGCCACCGCTTCTTACGTCACTCCCTAGACCTCGAACCAAAATGAGCGAATGATAAGTTTCCTCTCATTTCAACACAGAGAAAAGGAAAAAAACCCTTTTCCTAAAGGTACGACTCCACCGCGGCGCCCTTCGACGGCTTCACCAGCTCCACTTCCACGCCATCAGCCAACTTGAGGAAGTACTGGTCCTCCAACAAGCCGCGTCCGTCGTTCGACTCACTGGCGCCATCTGCCGCGATCCTCACGCGACGCGTCGAATCATCCAGCTCCAAGTCGCTTTCATTGTTCGCCTCACCCGCCGCTGTTGCTGCTTCCCGCAACGGCCGCAGCTCGGACTCGTCATCGTCATCATCATCCTCATCGTCGTCCGATCGTCCGCCGGGGACAATCCGAGCCGCGTGACGAGGCTTCGACGACGACGTCGACAACGACGACTGACGTCGCTCGGCCACAACGGCGGCGGCGGCGGCTGCAGTAGCGGCGCTCGAAACGCGGTGGTTCCCGACCATCGGGGCAGCGGCGTTGGCGTTCTCCGCGGCGGCGCTCGACAACTCGGCCAATTCCCGCTGCTTCTTCTCCTCGATCTTCACCTTCAGCAATCGTATCCTGGCGTCTTTCTGCAAGCGAGGAAAAATTAGATTTCTTCAACGAATTCGACGTACCTGGAATTAAATTAATATTGTACAAGGAAAAAGCGTGCCTTTTTTGCGTCGTGGATTTTTAGCCCCTTTCTAAATTACATCCACCATTTGCTACAGTTACGCGCATGATCATGTTTTAACGCATGAAAATAATAAAAACACAGTAAATGATATTTTTCCGACGCTTTTTCTTCAATGAACTGCACATTCAGAAAAGAAAACATTTCAATTAAGGCCAGAGTTGCAGTGCGTCATCTCGTACAAATGCTTCATGGTCAGTTTTCTTTTGATTACATTTTTGGATGGGTTGTAATGGTATAATTTTAATTTAGAATTTTCTTGATTTTTTCTCACAATCCTACTCTAAACATGATTTTTGCGCAACGAAATTATTTTTTTTAATGTCCAAGTTTTACTCTCATTCTGCAATTGTGTAATTGGCTCAAGGAAGAATGACAGCATTAGATGTACAATTGATACAAAGTTGAATTCCATTCATCATGCCTCTGATGCAACCATAGCAGTCTTCCTCCTGGTTGTCAATTGCATATTAAATCATAAAAACAAGCACCAAATAAAAATCCCCGAATATAAAAATTGGACCACAGTAAACAATGTTTCGTTGCGGAAATAGTACTCAAACTTGTGACATTTAGAAATCTAGGTCAATTGAAAATATTCTCCTCTTGGTCGACAAAGTTTTCCATTTTTGTGCCTTTTTTTTAACACGCATGCATCAAAACGGCAATATTTTTAATTTAAAAGTTATAATTTCATCGTCATTGGTTCCATTTTTCCGATGTTGAACTTTTGAAAATACTGTAGTTAAAAATGGGACCTCATCGCTGCAAGGAAACATGGATTTCCAAGTTCAAAGGCTTTTCAGACGATTAAAACATTGCGTAGAATTGCATTTCATGTATTAAAAAATCGTCGCGTTAGTATCCCAGAATTGGGAACAGCGAGTCAAGAAATATGTTGACCACGGCGATCTTTTCTTACTGATGCTGAATTCAAGATTTCACTCGTGAATTGAATGTTTATCAAGTGATAGCTGCAACGAGTCAAAGTTCGAAAAACACATTCATCACGGAGACTCGCTCTGTTGTGAAAATTTTTTTTTTGGCTTTTACTGTGTATTTTAAATAAATTCGAAGTACATTGCACCGATAATTTTCATAATTAAGGAAGTACTTCTCGAATAAACGGCAAACATCTTCTCGGTGTGGATTCAGCTCGACTTTGCATGAAATCTTGGCAATTTTCAAAATTCCATTAGCCACATTTCCTCAGATTTTCCTACGTCAGTTCATTCTGGCGTATTCTGTACACCCCCGCGCTCAAGCCGTCGAATTTGAAATACTTTTTCAGAAAAATTCAAAGCTCTCACACGTCTCAAGACACAGATTTTTAAATTTGTTAGTATCCTGGCAAATATTTGGAAAAAAACCGGAAAGCTTTCCTCTTTGCAAAACCCAACTCACTTCGTCCAATGATCGTTGCAATTCCTCGTTTTCCTTCAACAAGCGCTGTAACTTCTGATAGTCTTCGCCGGCATTGGTGGAATTATTCGAATGTCGAATCTCTTCCCTGCTGTTTGACGGGTTACTGATCAATTCCGCGATCTAAAATACAAAAACGAAAAAATTAGATAAATCACTTTTCCGGATAACCGAAACAACACTCGCACTCAAGACACAGTTATGTCAAAACAATAAAAAAAAAGTAACGCCGATTAGATCGAATAGATTCCAACAGAAGACCGTTATTCTTTTCTTACATCAAAGACTTTCGTCCGACAGGTGTCGCCTGAATCACGACAAGACAACAACAAAAATTCCTCAGGTTGCCAGATAATTACTCAGGGTCTGCAGAATACTGTATCGATTTTCCTCCTAATTACTCAAGCTCAATATCAGTCTCAGGTTATGTTCCACGAGCTGAAATCCCGTCTTTTAAATTGAAAAAAAAAAAATAATAATAATACCGAGTTACATGAGGCCCAAGTCGGAGAACTCAATTTCTGCAGAATAAGTAGCTCAAATCACTGACTCATAAAACTGTAATTCAATCGATATTAAAAGTATTCTGCGATGTCCCGCGGAACGTTTTTTTCGGCGAGTCACACAAAAATCGTCTGAAACGGCGGCGGCGACGACTCGTTTATGAATAATTTCTCGGGAGACGCGATAATGTAACCCGACAAGAACTGAAAAAATTCAAGCAAAAGAGTGCCGAACATTGAACCGCAACAGGTAGATAACATTAAAAAAAAAGTGAGTTCCTCACATACAGACGATTCAACCCTTGGGTACATCTGTAAATTGAAAAATTTGCCTTGACATCCAGACAATGTCTCGAAACAGGGACACTTTCCAACACTTATTGAAAAATTTAATAGAACTCTCGAAAAAATTGAGCATTTTATATTCACAATAAATTATATAAAAAGACCTTCAAGTTTAAAATTACGCCAATACAGGGTTCCTCAACCGGTGGTCCACAGAAGTTTTTTGCTGGTCCATGGGAAAGTTTCTTCAGCATAACAAATTTATAGAAAGACAATGGCAGTTGAAATTATATGATGAAAAAAAAAAGTTGGCTTTTCTCCTAATACCATTTGGACAAATTTTCACCTACTCAAAATAATTATTGAAAGTTTTCATTCTCAGAAAACCTTTCTTCAAGTCCACTTTTCTAATTTTCTGGAGACATTCCAGCAGAGCTGCTTCATTGGTTAAGTTAATTTTTGCAAAAAAGCCGACATTTTTTATATCTGCTATAAAGTCTTCCAAAATTTCTTTTGAGTCTAAAAAAAATGTTATAAAACTTTGCTGGTCTGCAGAAAATTTTTGGGGAATTTCCCAGTCCACAAAACATTTCCGGGAAATTGCCAGTCCACAAAAAATTGTACGGAAATTTGCTGGTCCACAGCCCAAAAAGGTTGGAAAACACTGCTCTAATTCATGATCATTAACGAGGTAATTTTTTGCTTTTTTTTCAGAGTTTCTCTCATCACCTGTGTACAGTACCGTATAGCAAAACTTAGAGTTTTTCCTTTGTTTTTAGGCTAGTTTTTCATTCCAAAAGATCAAATTCTGCGTGGATTTCTTCAGCAAAGTAATCTTCTGTATCTCAAGTCGATGAAAATTTAATTTAACTCAAGTTTTTTCGGGGAGTTATTCCCAATTTTCCGATGAACACGAGAATCAACTAAATATATGCTGGGATTGAAGTCTATGGGGGAACAGGGGGGCTCCGACACACAGAGACAAGGTTCCAAGCACACCGATTGCGTCCACATCTCGGGGCCCCGTCGTATCATGTGTGACTCACTTTCGGTATGAATATGAGAGCCAGCGAAATGAGACAGCAGAAGATGACGGAGAAGGCGATGAATGCGAAGCTGGCGTCAGGTTGCGAGGCGATGACGAGCGAAACCGGGGCAGTGATGACGCACAAAATGGCCACGTTGTAGATGGCCATTCCCACGTAGCGGGAGTCGTTGACCATCTTCAGCTTTACGCTCCGAGTCTCGTAAGAAAGGAACAGGCCGAAAAGCAGCAGGAGACCCTTGTAGGCGTAGATGACTCCTGTTCAAGGAAGAAAGGCCACGGAATTACTTCTCATCCACTTCAATTCAATTCAATATCTCTGAGGAAAACAATTTAAAATACATTCAGCGATCCCCAACCTTTTTTGGGCCCACGAGGACCAGCAAATTTCCATGAAATTTTCCGCAGACCAGTTAATTTCCAAAANAAAAAAACCGGAAAGCTTTCCTCTTTGCAAAACCCAACTCACTTCGTCCAATGATCGTTGCAATTCCTCGTTTTCCTTCAACAAGCGCTGTAACTTCTGATAGTCTTCGCCGGCATTGGTGGTATTATTCGAATGTCGAATCTCTTCCCTGCTGTTTGACGGGTTACTGATCAATTCCGCGATCTAAAATACAAAAACGAAAAAATTAGATAAATCACTTTTCCGGATAACCGAAACAACACTCGCACTCAAGACACAGTTATGTCAAAACAATAAAAAAAAAGTAACGCCGATTAGATCGAATAGATTCCAACAAAAGACCGTTATTCTTTTCTTACATCAAAGACTTTCGTCCGACAGGTGTCGCCTGAATCACGACAAGACAACAACAAAAATTCCTCAGGTTGCCAGATAATTACTCAGGGTCTGCAGAATACTGTATCGATTTTCCTCCTAATTACTCAAGCTCAATATCAGTCTCAGGTTATGTTCCACGAGCTGAAATCCCGTCTTTTAAATTGAAAAAAAAATAATAATAATAATACCGAGTTACATGAGGCCCAAGTCGGAGAACTCAATTTCTGCAGAATAAGTAGCTCAAATCACTGACTCATAAAACTGAAATTCAATCGATATTAAAAGTATTCTGCGATGTCCCGCGGAATTTCGGCGAGTAACACAAAAAGCGTCTGAAACGGCGGCGGCGACGACGACTCGTTTATGAATAATTTCTCGGGAGACGCGATAATGTAACCCGACAAGAACTGAAAAAATTCAAGAAAAAGAGTGCCGAACATTGAACCGCAACAGGTGGATAACATTTTAAAAAAAGTGAGTTCCTCACATACAGACGATTCAACCCTTGGGTACATTTGTAAATTGAAAAGTTCGCCTTGACATCCAGACAATGTCTCGAAACAGGGACACTTTCCAACACTTATTGAAAAATTTAATAGAACTCTCGAACAAATTGAGCATTTTATATTCACAATAAATTATATAAAAAGACCTTCAAGTATAAAATTACGCCAATACAGGGTTCCCCAACCGGTGGTCCACAGAAGTTTTTTGCTGGTCCATGGGAAAGTTTCTTCAGCATAACAAATTTATAGAAAGACAATGGCAGTTGAAATTATTTGATGAAAAAAAAAAGTTGGCTTTTCTCCTAATACCATTTGGACAAATTTTCACCTACTCAAAATAATTATTAAAAGTTTTCATTCTCAGAAAACCTTTCTTCAAGTCCACTTTTCCAATTTTCTGGAGACATTCCAGCAGAGCTGCTTCATTGGTTAAGTTAATTTTTGCAAAAAAGCCGACATTTTTTTATATCTGCTATAAAGTCTTTCAAAATTTCTTTTGAGTCTAAAAAAAATGTTATAAAACTTTGCTGGTCTGCAGAAAATTTTTGGGAAATTTCCCAGTCCACAAAACATTTCCGGAAAATTGCCAGTCCACAAAAAATTGTACGGAAATTTGCTGGTCCACAGCCCAAAAAGGTTGGAAAACACTGCTCTAATTCATGATCATTAACGAGGTAATTTTTTGCTTTTTTTTTCAGAGTTTCTCTCATCACCTGTGTACAGTACCGTATAGCAAAACTTAAGAGTTTTTTCTTTGTTTTTAGGCTAGTTTTTCATTCCAAAAGATCAAATTCTGCGTGGATTTCTTCAGCAAAGTAATCTTCTGCATCTCAAGTCGATGAAAATTTAATTTAACTCAAGTTATTTCGGGGAGTTATTCCCAATTTTCCGATGAACACGAGAATCAACTAAATATATGTTGGCTAACTTCAGATACCCCCTTGTCCCCCCGAGGCTGTGTGTCTCTGTTCCAAGGTTCGTGTGGCTAACGCAGGTGTAGAGCCCCGGGGCAGCATAGTACACACTGAGTGAAAGCCATACTTATACTCTCCCAGCGAAATGAGACAGCAGAAGATGACGGAGAAGGCGATGAATGCGAAGCTGGCGTCAGGTTGCGAGGCGATGACGAGCGAAACCGGGGCAGTGATGACGCACAAAATGGCCACGTTGTAGATGGCCATTCCCACGTAGCGGGAGTCGTTGACCATCTTCAGCTTTACGCTCCGAGTCTCGTAAGAAAGGAACAGGCCGAAAAGCAGCAGGAGACCCTTGTAGGCGTAGATGACTCCTGTTCAAGGAAGAAAGGCCACGGAATTACTTCTCATCCACTTCAATTCAATTCAATATCTCTGAGGAAAACAATTTAAAATACATTCAGCGATCCCCAACCTTTTTTGGGCCCACGAGGACCAGCAAATTTCCATGAAATTTTCCGCAGACCAGTTAATTTCCAAAAAATTGTCTGTGGACCAGCAAAGTTTCATACAATTTTTGTACACTCAAAAGATGTTTTGCATGACTGTATGGCAGATACAGTGGGGTCTTAGATTACAAATGCCCTGCTTTACAAACTTTTCTGCTAACAAACTTTTATTTTTTGGCCTCAGCTGCTCTGGCTAACGAACCATGATTCAGCTTACAAACTTTGGTTTCCAAATGCTCATAAGTCAAAAAAATTTTTTAGCAAAATTTAGGAATTCATGTTTGAACTTATTCATTAATTCATCTACAAATGTCTCAAAAGTTTATAGTGACCAATTCTTGATCACCAATTTTTCATTCATTCTAATTGGGTTAAAACTCAACAGCTTTCTGCAATTAAAATTTTCTATCTTAATTTATTGGTCTGTGAACAAGTTCTTTCTTGTTGCATTTAAATTAAAAAATAAACCTCTGGAGAAATCACTTTAAAATTTCACTTCTGAGGATTGTTTTACTGCAGCGAGTTCCTTGTTTATTGTCTTGGGAAAACTCAATAGATTTTAGGCCACAAAATATTTTTTAGGATACATTTTATTGAATTTCATGGGCATTTTCAAGGTTCTTGAACCAATTAAAATTATTTCTACACTTTCCTAAGGGAAAATGTGATTTGGCTTATGAACTATTTTCCTAACAAACTTTGTTGAGGAACCAGTTAAGTTTGTAAACCAATGCCCCATTGTAATTAAAAATTGCATGCTTTTTTGCAAAAATTCAGTCAAGAACCAATGAAGTAACTATAGTGGAATGTCTTGAAAAAATTAGAAACATGCATGAGCTTGAAGAAATGTTTCTCAGAATAAAAAATTAAAATACTGTAATTCATTTCAGAAATTGAAAATTTGTCCGAAGTGTTGTTAGAGAACAGCAAACTTTCATTTTTCATCAGACAATTTCAACTTCCATTGCATTCTCAAAATTTCGGATAAAGATAACCGACTTTGTGGCTACTTTTTATAATTTTTATGCTGCTGAAGAAAATTTCCCGCAAACTGGCAAAAAATGCATTAGGATTGGTGCTGGTCCACAGACAACGGTTCGGGGAACACTGAATTAAAACAATCAATGAACACTTGAAAAGAAAAATCGAAAAAAGGATTGTCGTGCAAACGAGTAAAAGATACACTTGAAAAAAAAATGGATGAAGCCCTTGTTGAAAAACACGCCTTTTTTCAACTTAGGCGATTATAGCTTCTCATGCGTTCCTCAACTTTCCGTCGCCTTTCAAACAGCCAACATGGCTTTGTTATGTAGTAATTTGTATTCAAATATCTATTCTTGATTTCTAAAAACCTTTAAAACACGACATTTTGCCGCAATAAACGCATTTTCGCGGAAAAGGGCGTCATTATGTTTCGTGTGTCGCTTCTCAGATATCCACGGTATTAATGTGTTTGATTGTTCGTTTTCATATGTTAGATTGTGGAATTGATCAGATAGACGTCATACAGAAGAGAAGGGTGTGTGTGTGTGTTCGGGAATTTGCGACCTTCGAATTTTCCTGGAAATGCGTCGATTTCTGCACACAAAACACAAAAATGCCATTATAATACATACAGGGTGGACCAAAAAAGTGAACCAACTTCTGACTTGAAATAGCTTGGTAGCAAATTGAGCTGCAGCAATGAAAAATAAAACAACAAATGAAAAGCTTGTTCAATTTCCTTTTAAATGGTATGTAGCTTTATGTCTCAAGTGCCATAATGGCATGGTCACAAACACCATTTGAATGAAAACTTTCCACAAAAATTGTCAGGCAACTTCCAGCACTAAGCTGCTGTTCTCCAGTGCTGTTTTCAAGGATAATCAGAATGCAGGAACAGTATCTTCAGCTGGAATACTTCAGACCAGTAACTCTACTGCAAGTTTTGGGAATGTGTAAAACCCCCTCAAAGACAGGATGAAGTTTTCCAGTTGAGTTACTGGTCTGCACGCCATGTATCCCTTAAACCAGCACTGGAGAACACCAGCTTAGCACTAGAAGTAGCCTGAGAGCTTTTTTTCTTTTTTTGCGTGGAAAGATTTCATTCAAATGGTTCTTGTGACCATGCCGTGGCACTTGAGACATAAAACCACATACCATTTGAAATGGGAATTAAACAAGCTTCCATTCAGTTTTTTATTTTTCATTGCTGCAGCTCAATTTGCTCCCAAGCTATTTCAATTCAGAAATCGTTTCACTTTTCCTTGTTATCCACCCTGTGTATAAATACAGAAACAAAAAGGTCGTTGCTCGCTTCAACACATGCTCCTGTTCATGCCAATGAGCGAGTTGAATACCCAGCCATATCGGGTTGTTCCGGGACACGCAATGCTCGAGCTGCGGAAGGATCTTGATATCTTCCGACACGTGCGGCGGTGGATCCTCGAGCGGAAACAACTCCAGTTTCCGCTCCAGAGGATCCACAGACGTCCAGGCGGAAAGGATAATGATGTCCACCACCACAAAGCCAACCACCATCAACCATGGCCTGTGTGGACCCGACGGTGGCTGAAGTAAGCGAGTACAGTAAACCATTCGTCATGAGGTCAAGTTACAAAATTGCCGTGAACATGCTGGAGCACAGTTTATCCATTTAAAATGACTTTCACAGTACAGTACGGTACTCACAGTTTTCGAACTTGTACGGCGGAATTCCCTTACAACGAAATTCAGGCTTGAACAGAATTTCTTTTCATTTTTTTACGGGATATTGCGTCAGAGTATTGAGGCAATATCCACAATACAGAACTCTTTTAATTTCGTTTTCAATAATTTATGTTTGTATCTACGCGTTCTTCAAGATCACCAACGCCTTACTGTAACGGGATGAACTATAGTGTACAGTCTATCCCTTTTTGTACGCTCAATCTTACTCCCAGAAATACACAGATGTCACCTCCTAAACACGCATCATAACTTAAGGTAACCTAGAGTCCTAGACACAATGATTTGCAACTGGATTTAGACAACATCTATTTCATGATAATGCTGAATACTCAGTTGGGAATTTTGAACGTTGACAGTTGGATTCAGTAATCATATTCCCACAACAAAAGTTACCCAATTCATGGTTTTGTTCAGAAAAAACGAGTGATTCGATATTTTTTTAAGTCTATGGTTGATTATTGTGGATTTATACTTCGGGCTGTATTGCCACATTTACTCAAGCACAATGCACCCTCTAGTAAGACACGCACCCACATTTTCCAGCCTAAACTTGGACAAATATATCTCCAAGCAAGATGCACACCACATTCTTAGAAACTGAAAATTTAAATATTTTGAAAATAAAAGGCATCAAAATTGAAAATTTGACCTGAGTTGAAGTCAAATTGAAGACAGCCACATCTCTTCAAATTGAGTTACAAGAGACCAGCAAAAAATTAAAAGCTAGATAAGTTTTGACTCATGAGTTAGCAAAACACGCATTTTTGGTTGGAGAATAGAATCAAGAATTACAGGGAATTGTAATTGGTGATATCCTGGGTCTTAAAATTGCATATTGAATGCATTGACAGGATGATGAACTTGGAGACAATGGTTCATTTGCTCAACTAGTCTTTCACTTCCTTTTAAAACACATTGTCACATTTTTATTGCTTTTTTCTTTCCTGTGTCAATAAAATAATATGCAGAAGGTCTCCAAAAATTTGCAGTTAAGAAGGTTTGATAGGGAGGGCCTTTGAGTTGGGAAGATTTGTAATGCATTCTTTCTAAGGGTATTTAGTCAGAGACTTGAAGAGAATTTAACACGGGGAGATTTTGGCCATTGAGGTTCAACTGTACAGTATTTATTACCTCATCATACAAATTGTTTTAAATTTTCTGGTCAAACTGGTTTGGAATTCCCTGTTTGAATAAATCATGTAGGTGCACGGAAGTTTTTTTTTTTAATTTGTAAATATGTTTCACCTGCTGTAAATATGGTTTAAAGCGCACCACCTACTTTTTCTTCCTCACAATTTAAAAAAAAAATGGTAAAATGAAATGGTGTGCTTGGTACTTGAGTCAATGTGTTATGTTGACTTTACAATGTCTTCGACACCCCCTCGACATTCCAGAAAGCAGGAAGGAGTATTAAATGATACGAACCCAGAAGTTTCAATCAAATCACTGATTCTCGCAAAGCAAGCCAACAATCACGTCATTCACCTTCGTTCCTTGAGCCTTCGCCTTCGTGGCCAGCGAGTGAACACTCCAGATCTTTGCAAACATGGCACCGTACGACAGGGAGAAGCCGATCGTCAGCAGCCAAGCACGAAGATGACAAATAAATGCCAGCAGGTTCGACGGCACCAGACGACCGTCAAGTCCCAGTAAACTCGCTCCAGTTAGTGAGACGCACACTCCGACCAGAGTCATGCAGTTGCAGATCGGCTGGGATTGTCTGATGAGGCTGGAGAAATAAAAAAAATCAAGAGTCGTAAATTGAAAATAAATTCAAGGTTCGTGTCAGTAAAAATCAAACTTGTCAACCACTGTCCACCCGTGGAATCCAAAGCACAAGTAAATCAACTGTGCAATGGGTCTTGAGAACCATACACTCGTATTGTATCCCTCTGAAACACTTCCAACGAATATATGGCCCGCGGGCCAAATTATCCCAGCAGAGACTCTTCTTCTGTCCAACAGTCCCTTTCCCCACCATTTTCAAGATACAGTACAAGCAACCACTATTCAGAAATAGTCAAACCCCGATTTAGTGCCACCATTCCTTGTGCCAATAAGCAAGGGTGGCACTAAACTGAAGATATTGCGAGAGACGGAGGTTTACTTGAGGGTTTATATTTTAGGCAAAATAAGCTTTTTTACAGAATCCGGTAGGCCAGTGAGTATGTTTTATAAGGGAGAAAGCCAACAAAAAAAAAATCGTGTTTTAATTGTGATTTTATCACTCTACCTTCTTTTCTAGCGCTCATAAGATCTATTTCGTCATTGCATCATGCACGAACATCGGGCTCAATTTACTTTCGATACCAATTCTTTTCATTTCCGTATGAAGAACATCACTGTATGAAAAATCCCGTCTTCAATTAAATAAAATTGGGTGACAAAGCTGGACAAAAATCGACAAGAAATACGATTTCAAACATACCGTTTGGTCCTATACGCATACATGAAGCACAGAAGTCCCAAGGCAGCGAGAATCCCAACGAGAGATATAGAAGATACAGCAGCAAGCAAAGTGAGCGACACTGTCCGCAACTGGTCCTTTATCTCCGTCTTGTCCTTCGGGGGTTTCCCACCTGCGCAAAAATAATTCGTAAAAAAAAATAAACCCCGTCTTCGAAAATGAATGATGGCATTATCTCACCGATCCATTTCTCGCTTTTCAGCCACGTCAGGTTATTTGTGTGCGTGTCAAAGTAACCCAGCGGCACGTAAGACCCATTCACCATTTGTTCGATCTGCGTCCAAGCAATGCGGTCACCCTTCGCACTAAACGCCACAGTGCCCTAAATGAATGCAACCAAAACAAAATTGCTTTCAGTTTAAAAACAATTTCAAGAAATTCAGCTTTAAAAAAGAAAAAACGAACCGATATTCCAAGAAATTGGGTCGTGTTCATAGAAGAGTATATCAAGTGCGCGATTTCTTTGTCCTCGTACGTGAACTCTTCCAGGCTTCGTTTCATTTGCCGCAGTTGACGCATGGTCTTGTTGAGTGCTGCAAAAAATATTATAAAAACCATTTTCATAATTATGCTCAAAACAAAATATATTTTCAATAGATGCTTGAAATTTTTTTTCAGAACCCTGATTTCTGGAACGACATCCAAGTCTCGCCGGGATCACTCGCTTCGTCGCAGCAAAAACCATAAGGGGCCACTCTGGGCAACTGCCAATTTATTTTGAAAAACAAATCTTCCCTAATGATAATAGTAACAGAAACCCCGTCAAAAAGGCCATCCGCCAAAATTAATGACATATGGAACATGCTCCTGCCAATTAATTTGGTTTGATAGCCCGCCAACAAGATTCAAGTTTTTATGAGAGATCTCCAATTTACTTATACATATCCCAGGTGTTATTTTGATTGTTTTCTAGAAGAATAAGAATTTCATTTCTTATGATATTGTACTTGATTTTCATATTATTCCATCTTCTTTGATAAACCGCAACAGAACTCACGAATAAATTTACACGATTTATCGAGGTTCGACTGTAAATAACTCACCCGAACCAAATTAAAGTTTGATCAACGAAAGGTGGCGATATCAAAGCTCGAAATGTATCCACCAAAAAAAATAATTTCGGGCTTTCACGAAAACGACAGACGTTTCACAGCGTGATTCAAAAAATTAATCATATTCGTAAATGTCACACTGACCTAAAGCAGCTGCCCATATTGCGTCATAGGCTAGCGGTGCTTCCTGATAGCCTTCTGGGTATCGACCGGACTCGACATCGTAGCCAACCTTGACCAGGGCCTTGTCGAGACGTGCCTTAAACTCGTCAGACGTCTGGAAAATAATACTCTGAGTTGACTAGGAACAAACCCGAACAGTTCCAAGACCACGAGAAATGAAGAAGCAGCTCAAGGCAAATGACATTAACTTGATTCAGAAGATTCGAATTCATGGGTTCTCCGGGTAAACCTTGCGCCAATCTTCATTTCATTGTATTAGCAGATCTACCAGGCACAGAGAATGGGGGTTCAAAATACAGTTGAACCTCACCATGTCGAATTTTTTCAAATCTCTTTCTGAATTCCCTTAGAGACAAGGCAGTAAAAGGAACCTCCACAACTCGAATTTTCTGGAGGCCGCTTGACTATCATTTTATTGACACAGGAAAGAGAAAGAGAATAAAAATGTACTGTATCTTGGTGTGCTTTGAAAGGAAATGAAGGATTACTTGAAGAAAATGAATTCATCCCTCCAAGTTCATCATCTCGTCAACTCATTCCAGAAGCAATTCAAGGCCTAGAATACCAATACTGTACCGTAATTACAATTCACTGTAATCCTTCTTTCTTTTCCCAACAAAAATGCTCGTTTCCCACACACAAATTTTTTCGTTGGTCCCTTGAAGGGGGTTTGACTGCACCACACATACAATATAAAACAAAATACCGATGACGAATTTGAAGTTATAGTATCAAACTGCTTCACAAAGGAAGGTAATTTAAATTATTCGTACCATTCCAGAGATTGTCTTGGCGTTGTCGCGGTTCCACATGAGCGCTTCCGTCGTTATGTGACCTTCAGCGGCCAGTTTCATTTGTTCTTGATTGCACGCTAGATGCTCTTCCTTCAAATTGATTTGATACCAGTTGTCTTCATACCAGCCTAGAGAAATTATTTTCGAAAAAATCAGCTTCGTCCTTCATTTCAGCGGTTAGATCGTGCTTTGCACAAAAAAAATGCATACAAAACAATATAATCAACATTGACTTACCGATAAGAAACCATGCGAAGGATTCCCCGTAAAGCTTCTGGGTGAAAATCTCGCAAAGCACGCGGCGAGCAGCTACGACGTAGAATAAACCCACGATGATACGTGCATCTTGTCGGACCAGATTTTTTATGGCATCCGTGGGATCAGTGAGGAATGACTGTCGAGTCACAACTTCAATGCCAGCTTCGCTGCATTTGGCTACCAGATCTTCCACCGTCTGAAACGAAAAATTAAATGGGGAACCTGGAACATTTCACTTGACAACACAGAAATTTGGAATGCTTCAAGATCCTGTGCGACAGTCGATGAGCAACTAGGCCTTGAGTTTAAAAAAAACGAAGTGAATAAGACCTGCATTTATCGTGAATTTGCAAATAACAGTTTTACAAACACATATCAGTGGCTCGATATGAGACGCGGGAAATCATACAACAAGAATTTTACTCAGTAAATTAGATTCCACACGTGTTTTCGTCGATTTCGCCGTGAATTATTGCACAGAAGTAATTTCGCGCGCGCGTAACACAAACTTGGCGATTCAATCTTTACCAACCCGTGAAATTTCCATTACCAAAGGAAATTTTGCGCCGATTTATCAATATGAAAAAAACGTGGTACAGTACATGCAGCATAAAAAACCCCGAACAATAAATTAGAAGCAATTTCAGATCTCTTCACAAATGGCCGATGGATTTAAAACTGGACAGATTTAAAAAGTAATCATACATTTTCTACTCCAAAAAACTATACTGTAGTTGAGTTTATAATGGTGAATGTTTTAAATTTACGCTGCTCTCATAAGTATTTTTTTACGTTTGTCTGAACAAGCAAGACGACTAAACCGAAGTAAATACTGTCATAGATTTCGATTCCGGATGTTCGCAAAAAAGGCATCGCAGAATCTACAAAAACTCACTTCAACCGTTTATAACGGAAAATTTACATACCGATATGAAAACTTCTTCAGCCTGTTGCAAAATTGCGATCCGGGTCCAACCGAATTTCTGGAATAGCTTCACTCGAGTCGGGTTCTGCACAGTGGCCGATGGATGCGTCCGGAAAAACGTAGGAAACCTGTTCCTGTCCGACAGAGCCGGGGAACTCGCACCATAAGAAAGCTGGAAAAATGCAATGGCTAAATTCAACGACACGTAAGCGATATTTTAAAAAATTCATCTGCGAAATTCAAGTTGAGATTTCAACACTACTGGTTCAAATAAAAAAATAAATAACGATGGGAAAAAAAAGTAATCGAAGAGAAGCGTAGACACATTGAACGGGCATTCATGCGGGCAATATTTCAACTATTTCACGAAAAAACGTCAGTCTAATTAACGGGAAGACAGAAAATTCATCGAGCGATTTCTGAAATACAGTACAAAGAAATTTGTAAAGGCAGTATCGGAAAACGAGAAGTTGGGCAAAAAAAGTGCAGCTTACCACCACTAGGTTCCACATTTTAGCAGCTTCGGCAATTGTGGTACAGACAGTTGAGCACCCTCCCAAAAGCAACACCTTTTGCGGCGGCTTGTACAGTAAGTCGTACATGACAGATGCTCCCAGACCAGGATTGCACTGCGAATATTTCTAGTTTCATCACTAGATTTGAGAGAGGCTTCAGATCTGAATATCACCTCACTGTCGTTCCACGTGAGACTCAGTTCATATCCAGGAAGTATGTCTTCACGTTTGTTCACATCTTCCAGAGCCAACATAGCAGCCGGTTGACAAGCCTGAAATTTATTTGATCTTTCATTAACAATACCACGGAGGAGTGCGTTCAAAATGGTACATAAAAATCTGAACATACGGTTCGGAACCGTCGGAACGGAGTATCTTGAGAATTACGAAAACAATTGTAACTCCTGCTACATTTTTCGACGAATTGAGGCATTATTCATCCACTTTAAAAATTAGGCTCATTAACACAGAATTGCAAGTGCATCTTAAGTAGATATACGGGTACTGTATATCGCCCAGAAAAGGCATATCGATGTACGATGGATAAGATTGTCAGTCTTATTACGCAGGACATTCTGTACTGTTTTTCTGCGGGATAACGAGAATGAATCTCGTGTATAAAGCTCAAGCCATTAATCAGAACATTACGGAGATGGCTTAAATTTTAAAGCTGACTTGAGGAGTCCAGCATAGGGAAAATAAGCAGGATTTGTTTAGTTATTACCTGTCCTCCTTGCCAACCAGCCGAAGTACCGTTGATTGGAAAGATGCCTCCGATATGTAATGGTTTGAGTGCTGCACCTGCCTTTCCTAACAGTAGAAGGCTTGCGCACAAAAGGTGGGGAAACTGAAAGCCTTCCTGCGACACCATCTTCACACTTAGCGCAGCGTTTTCACATGACAAAAAAAAATTACACACTCCCGGAAGAATTACTGAAATACATGCATCATCGCAGTTGCTGTCAAATAAAATGTTCATCAAGCATGTCGAATTCTTCATAACAATCCAAGGAAAAAATTGCACAAATCAAAATCGCAGACTGAACACCTCTTCAGAATAGTTCGACGGATCTCACATTTCGACCGAATTCAATGAATTGCGAAATAAGGATGAATTTAACGTTCTTCGGAAAAGCTCCAACGCCGCCAGCAAACTCATCTCTCAAATTATTTAACTTAGAATGCCGCGGCTTCCTTCCAAAATCAAGCGATTTCAAAAGCGAGGAACAGTAAGAGTTTTCAGGAGACAGGGACTTCGACACACGTCTTCTTCACAACACGTCTTATATATTTGAACAGCACCACAACAATGAGGTCAGGTATAAAACTATAGAAGTATCACTGTCAAGAGTCAAGAGCAAAGTGACGCCACACTGTCTGGCAGAATCCCTTGTCCCATGCTTCCCCCAAGATCACGGTCGCCATAAGGCACGCGCAGAGCATGTGGGTGGGAGAAGGACACGACCCGATGGTTCGCCGCTAGATGTCGCGCGTAAGGGTTAGGGTGAGGCCTCACTGAACCCCTGAAGAGAACAGTAAGCTTTTATGAATGAGTCTTCAGCCAGCGTCAGTAATTTCCACTTCCAAATAATCGTTGGAGGCATGAAGTAGCTCTGTATAGTGTTGTGTCAGTGTCAGTTTCCATTTTTCATTACGAGTCCAGTTGTTAGTCTTGAGTTCACTTCAGAGAGAACAGTCAGAGTTAGGACATCTCCTCCAATTGTGATAACCATCTTCTTCCAGTGAACGGTTGGGTGGGTGCGTTGGGCAAGCGAGTCTTGTTGCAAAGGTTGTAGGTAGATGTTGTTCTAAGGGTCCTGGTAAGGGATCCCTTACTCTCCCCCCCCCCCTGGAGAAAAAGATAGGGGCTTCGAAAGGAGAAGGAGACATTATCTTTTTCTTAAGAGGAAGCAAAGTATAGGTGTGATCAGGATGGACTGGGACTGGCACTGCCGGTGGCATCAACAGGTAATCATGATCACGGAAAACGTTCGCCTGTGGCATAAGGCCTGCGGAAGGATCTGCAAAGAGAAGGTTGGACTCAAGATAGGGGTACGCCAATGGAGCATGATAGAGAGGAGCCATTGATTTGGTCCAGATTGGGTCTGGCGGGCGCGGCAAACCGCGGGCTGGTACCATTTCCCAGGCGTTTGCCCGACAAATTTCCGCCTTCTCTGCCACAGTGCCGATGTGGTATTCCCCTTGGCCCAGGTACCGCAGGACTATGAATGGTCCGAACTGCTTCACTCGAAACCTGTGATCATCTGCCTGCTGTTTGACGGTGGGAAGCCGAGGGCAAAGGGCCACTAGGTCCCCTGGGCTAAATTTGGGCCACTTTCTCCGGTCGGTGGCCTGACAGAATTCCTCCCAAGCCTTGGCCGCCACTAGTGGGATCTGCGTCAGCTCGAAATCAATGGGGGGTGGTTCAACGCCGAACTCGCAATCGGAATCTAGAGTGATTGGCTGTTGAAAGAAAGCTTTTGCGGGAGGTATGCCAATTGCAGAATGGATCGTACAATTATACGCAATAACGGACTTAAAAATAAACTCGTCCCAGCAAGGGCTGTTTTCTTGGACGTGCTTGGCCTGGATGTCCCCCAATGTCTGGATTGCGCGTTTGGAACATCCGTTCCCCTCAGAATGGGAGGCCTGCGTGATGTGTTGCTTGATGCCGGCGTCTCGGAGAAACCATTGAAAGGCGCACAATTGGAAGACCAAATTGCAATCCGTGTGCACATATTCAAAGACCCAGAGTTGTCAAAAAATTTCTGCAATGAATGGGATAACAGTAGACGTATCTGCTTGCGGGACTGGGAGTGCGATCATATACTTACTGTAGTGATCAACCGCAATGATTGCATACCTGTTGCCGGTCGTGGACAGTGGCAATGGACCATAGCAGTCCAAAGTCAAACTCTGTCGTGCATGCGTAGAAACGATTGGTTCAAGTCATGTGCCCACTGGCGTCGTGCGTGTGTTGTAACAGAAGCACGTCTGGCAGCACTGGATGCGTTTCCACACGTCCTGGCAAAGAGATGGCCATTTGTAGCGCATCCGCAAAGTCAGGTATATCTTCTTCCATCCAGGAACCCAGCTCGACGTGGTAGCTGTCAATGATCTGTGTGCGCTCTGCTTTGTTTGGGACTTCCCAAACCTCCACGGCATTCAGCGTCACTCAGCTGAGGGCGTCGGGTCCTTTGAGGAACTTTCCCGGTTTGTATATGATCTTGGCCCGGAAGGGGGCGAGCTTGGTTTTCAGGTAGATCAGGCGTGTTGTCTTCAGCTCTCCAAGCAGCGCCTTGTGATCTGTAAACACTGTAAAATCGTGCAGCTCCAGGTAGTGACGAAATTTCTTTGTCACTGCCCAGACGATTGCCAATAGCTCGTGCTCCAAGTTAGTATAGCGGGACTCCGTGTTGTTGAGGGTGTGACTTGCATATTCCACGACCCGGGGTTGGCCCGTCTCATCAATCTGTACTAGAATTGTGCCGAGTGAAGTCAGGGAGGCGTCGCAATGGACCTCAGTTGGGCAGGATGGGTCCATGCGTTCAAGCCTGGCTGATTCGGCAAGAATTGATTTCAGATGATCAAAGGCCTCAAGTGCCTCAGGAGTCCAGACAAGTTTAGTGAGAGGTTTCGCGGGGATCGTCTGCCGCAGGATTTTTTCCGAAGTTGCAAAGTTAGTGGGTAAATGCGCGCGGAGATAGGTGGCCATGCCTAAAAATCTCTGCATTTGCCAAGTTGTGCAGGGCTGCAGAAAACGTCGTACCACGTTGAGATCATTATCCAATGGACGCGTTCCCGTCTGGTCAATTTCATGGCTGAGAAATACGATTTTCTTGGCCAGGAAGGTGGACTTAGCCAAGTTGACTGCGGCGCCCGCGTTCCCCAGCGCGGTCAGAACAAGGTTGAGGTTATTGCAAACTTGTGAAAAGGATTCCCCAAAGACAATTATGTTGTCCATGTAGGCCAAGCACCGAACAAACAGGTGGTCACGTAAAATATGGTTAACCGCGCTGGAATGCCGCCGGCCCATTTTTCAACCCAAAAGGCATGACCCAATATTGCATCTGCCCGCGCGGGGTCCAGAAGGCCATCTTTGGCGATCAGCATAAGAAATTGGAAGGTGGTGAAACACGGCGTGCAGATCAAGGGTGCAAAAGTACGCGTTCTTTTGGCCGAGCGCGTCAAGCAAGTCCTGGATTACAGGCATGGGGTAGTGGTCGTCGGCGAGAATATCGTTAATTCCTTGATAGTTCTCCACCAAGCGCCAATGCCGATGGGGTGGCGCTTGGGGGTCCAAAGTCTTTTTCCGAGTTAAGAAAGCAGGGGAGTTGTACAGAGACGAGGCGGGTTCAATGATTCCGGCCTCGACGTACTTGTCCATAATTGTCAAAAAAAAGCATTCAGTTCAACTGACTGACAAAACGGTCGCGTGTTTGGGATCTGATCCCAGGAAGTTTTGAGCATGACAGTGTGTTTGGGAAGGAAACCTTGCCGACCCGACCACTGATGCACCATTTTGGAGTGCCGCATGAGCATTTCGCGCACCTGATCGCGTTTGGCGGCCGAGCCATTGGTAAAGCAGATGCCCTCTCCGATAGTTGAAGTAGAGGTAGCCCAATTTTGGATAGTCCGCTGAAACCCAACAAACACGTGGTCCCCATCTATGGTGAGAGCAAGCGGAAACTGCCGGAGCGCGGTCCGTCCAAGGAGGATTCGGGGGTCTGAAAGCTGGGGTAGAATCAAGAACGGAAGCGCATATTGCATACCGCAGAACGTAAAATCTATAATTACCTGTTGTGCCACCCTTGCGGTATCCGCAGAAAGGGCGGTAAGTACGTGAATTGAACAAGGGCAGGGGGAAAGGGCAAGGGAAGTAACTAACTGTTGCGAGACAAAGGCGTGGGAGGCTCCCGTGTCCACTAGTGCAGGAATGATGAGGTCTCCGATTTGAAGTGGTAACACGATATTGGCAGAGGTGCGGCAAGATCCGTGTCCACACAGTGTGCCGCGTTCACTGTGCTTGACACCCATTTCCCTGCAACAATTGGGGGCAATTACGACCAATGTGTCCTGGGGCGTGACAATTATAACAATAAAATGTATTAGCCGGATTGGACAAATTCTGCGGCTGCAGCTGGGCAGCCGGAGCCGGACGGTTAGCCGGAGCTGCTGCTGAAGCCTCCAATTGAGCAGGTGGAAGCCAACCTTGTTGCTGGAGCAGGATGCAACAATCCTGAGGAGAATGCTGCACGTGGGCCTGGTGCCCCTCACATCATTGTCTTGGAGGTTGAGACGAGTAGGCATTTTTTGCAGCAGGTTTGGATCAGGTTGTGCCGCGGGACATGGCGTGCTGATGAAGACAATATCGCTCCGCTTCTGTGATTGCTTCCGTCCAAGACCAGTTTTGGTCGTCAATCCACTTTTTGCAGAGGTTGTCTTGAAGCCCGACCAGTATGGCGTTGATAAGTTGCTTGATAAGGATTTTGTCGCAGACCAGTTCTATGGTAACTGGTTGTCCGGGTGGGTTGACAGAACCGGTCCAGATGATCCAGATGGGGAGTTGGATGCAAGATTGCAATTGCCACAACCAGCTCATTGAAATTGACAATACCACGCCCGTAATGAATTGACGCAGTTTCTCTGACAAGGGCCTGGGTCTTGTTCAGCAGGCACCAAACTTTCATGTCGGCCAACACGTTGTTCACGGCCGGCATGCGACGCAGGTGATCAGCGTAGTCTCGCCATCGCGCTGTCAGGGTAAATCCGAGAGGAGTGGCTCACCAGGTTGACGCTGATACTGCTGTAGTGGAGGGTGCATTGCCGGTGTAGATGCAACAATCACGACCTCTTGGGCCGACGGTGGAGCCCAGGGTTGTATCTGCAAGTCCAAGGGGCGTAGATGCCACCCTGGTGGAGGAATCCAACCCTGGGTGATTGACGCCAGTACTTGGTTGCGCTTGAGC